TTACCCCCATCTTTATTGAACCATTTTATTTTTCCACAAAATAACCCAGCCACAGATTACGTTTTACAAACAGGAATGACATTAAATAGACATATTCAAATCTTAACAACACTTCTTAAAAATTTTCAACTTCCTAAAAAAGAAACATGGTATACATGGTATAGTTTCTACTGCCTCTCAGTTTATGACATATTCCTCTGGGCTTTGAAATCGTGAAAATATCAAAATGATGTTGGATGTTGGAAAACATCTACTAGTATGATTACTCAACAGCTGTAAAACACAAATTGATTGTTCTGTTTTGTTAACAGCAGTAATAGTAACACGACCTGGTCCAAGAGTACAGGTGAGAAATACATTTTACACATCTGATTGCCATTTGCTCATGTACACAGTACAGATATGAAGAAGATCTAGAAATGTGGACCTTTTCTAAGTGCATTGATATTGCACATACAAAAAGATTTTGAGCAAGATATATGTCCAGCTCTAAAATGAACTCAAAGACTGGGAAGAATACAAAGACAGAAATATCAGAATCTGGGCCTGACTCTTCTGAGGATAATACACAAAGAATTGATGGTGTTATAGATCAGACACATTGTTCAGCCTATTTCTTAAATATTTTCAAAAGGCTATATTTTAGATTTTGAGACAGGCAACCCCAATGTAATGATATTTATGCCAATTAACATGTTGAGTGTGTAAAGTTCGGAATCATTTTCTTAATTTCTAGTTTTGTTGGAAGGAAACATGGCTGGTGTAAAACAAATACAAAATGGTGTCCTCTTGAACCTGAGCACAACTACAAAATACATTAGATAGTAGTAATGTTAGTTGTTACTGAAAGGAAGATACTGGGTGTAAATATTACATCAACATAAAAAACAAGATCTCAAAGTAGAATCAAAACAAAACAAAAAAACCTCCAAAATGGTATGGGTGCCATCATGCACAGTTTGATGCAGTAACGGTTGCATGGATTACAGATTTCACATATCATGTACTTGTAGAAAATACATGAAGTCAAAAACATTGTAAACATCAGAAGCAAAAGAGGATGTTCTCAAAAGTTTATAGTTCACAACTAGCTCCAGAAACAACCCCTACAATGAACAGGGGAATGGGTCCAGGCTATTTATCCAAACAGTAAGGGGATACTATTCCCTGTATCATCGAGGATGGGTCAGGACTGACTGTCGGCCTGTATACTGAGGTGCTTTTCATGTCTGGCAGCGTGTCTTGGTTCCACATCATCAAGTTTGTAACTTGGGACATATGTGTCAAATTAGTCATATATGGATGGCTGAATTGGTACTTTAAGTGCTTAAAATTCAGCATAAAAGACTCATTTTGAAAATTCTTAGAAAATGCTACATAACCTTAACAGTAAATGTGAGTGAGAGGGTTGGGTTAAGTGCAGCTTTTAACAGTATTCCAGTTACATCACAGCTGTCACACTATGTGGGAGAAAAGCCCGAAGTGATGCAGATCTCAGGCGTTGACCACTTCCGTGAAACCTTCGACCACGGTGCTGACAGACATAGAAACAGAATCAGGGCAAACCAGGATTCTAACGCACAATCATAGGTTTCTGGCACGTCCAAGGGACATAACTCTGCACAGCGAATTGCAGAGCCTTAGACGAATGGACCACCCATGCCATCAATAACAGTAAAAGAATCTAGGACGAATATGGTCACTTATTGTTCAGTATTGTTCAGTTTCTTTACCTCAGATAACCAATGTTCATCCTGTTAAATTCAGATCAACATGATTAGTTGTAAACTATAAAATTTTGCTGAAACCCCTACATCTATGACAACATAAAAAATATATTACATGTCCAAATCATTCACAGCACTTCATTCAGTTGTTGAAAAAAGTGTCAAAAAAACATCTTTCAACTAAAGCATAAAACTGGCCCAAATCAAGACATGCAGAAAATTAGTCACATCGCTTTCATTTCTCAAACTTTGGCTATTTTGAATACACACATATCAAAGACATCAAAAACGGCAGATTACATACAGGTAATTGTTGCAAAAATATGTACAGGGTTTATTGCAGTTCCTCTAAGAATCTGAACATGCAATATTTGATATTTTAGTCTCAAGTTTACAGTTTGTTCATTTGTTTGTTCACAGAATGAAAGGTTTTGCAAAATGAAAAATCACAATTTCTTGGAATGAAGAAAACCTGTGATGCATTTTCTCATGTTGGCCTGCTGGAACTAAAACAAAAAAACACATGCCTTTGACTTTTAACCTTGAAATGCTGGGTATTGTGAATTAACCACTTTTCAGATCTTTCAATACAAAGAATAAATGACATATACAATCAGCACTTATCTTTTTCTATTTTCTCATCCAAGTAACCTGTTTTGACTAACTTCGGGCATTAAGAAGTTGGAGTACAAAGTAAGGATTCTGATCCTTACCTGTTGTGACTACATGGCTACATCTGGTAATCCACTGCATGTCACAATTCAACATTAGGGGGGTCCTGAGGTTTGCTCCTGATGTAGATGGTGGAATCAATGGACCCCTAAATCACTTACATTTTTACATTTTGGTTTCTTTTTAAATGGTTATTGATAATAATTGTCTTCTCGAAATCAAAATGTCTTAGAATGAACACAGATTAAGTAAAATGTAATGCTACATCAGCAATATCTGTCACATACTGACTGCTCAAGGATGTAATAAACATATAAAGATATAAAAACATAACATATGACATTAATATGGCCAGACCTTTGTAAAAACTTGGTTTACGAATCCGTCCAGGCGACTAAAAATAAGTTAAATATAAAAAAAACTCATGTTCTGTCGGTATCAACATATATAAATTAATTAAAATACTATAAATAAAACCTGTTTAACATTGTTCTCAGGGAAAGGGAGGTAACTCTAAACATCTTTCTTTCCCTTTTCCTCATGCCCCATATTCCCCCCCTTACTTAAAAAGAAATATAAAACAAATATTTAAAATTTGATTATTATTTTTTTCAACCTACCAAACTGAAATTGGGTCAAATATCTGTACCCTATTTTGTGACATATCAGATTATGCAGTATAACAAATGATGTCCATATTCTTAGATGTCTGCAATAACGTAAAGAAATTATTAGTACGGGGTAGTTTGTGAATCATACATTATGCCGACTTGCACAAGAAAGGCACATTTACCACTTAAGCTTTAGCCACAACGAACACATACAACTGGAAGAATATCAATTTATAAACACTGTCCAAGTCTTCCATCAGCATCAACAAGAAGAAGATAACAACAAATCACAGATAGTCATGCAATCGGCGCGATCAGCTTTAAAATGGAAGTGGCTCTCAAGCCAAATATGTCTATCAAAGGTTGTTTTTGACTGTCTATTTACAGATTTGTTTCATAAAATATTATATCTATGTTAATATTATGAAGAAAACAACATGCAATATCACAATCAGAAATGATATTGAGGATAACATATCGCATGACTAGTGTACCAAGAGTTCAGCTTTACGGGACATACACTCACATGCCTTAGCTTTCTGGGTTATTTCAGTGAAACATGAGTGAGTGAGTGAGTGAGTTGTGTTTAACGCTGCTTTTAACAGTATTCCAGTTAATATCACGGCATGTCAGCTTAATGTGGGAGGAAAGCCCGAAGTGATGCAGGTCTCAGACGTTTACCACTTCGGTAAAACCCACGAGCATGGGTACGGTGCTGACAAACCTAGAAACATAATCAGGGTAAACCGGGATTCGAACCCACAACCATAGGTTTCTGGTGTGCCCAAGGGACGCAACTCTGCACAGCGAATCCCGGCGCCTCAGACGACTGGGCCACCCATGTCGCCAGTGAAACATGAACAAGTGAGTGAGTGAGTTGAGTTTCATGCTGCTCCAGGTATATCACAGCATGGCGACATACAGTGGGAGGAAAGCCCAAAGTGATGCAGGTCTTAGACGTTTACCACTTTGGTGAAACCCATGAGCACCGGTTTGGAGCTGGCAAACCTGGAAACATAATCGGGGCGAACCAGGAATTTATCCCACAATCATAGGTTTCTGGCGTCGCCTTAGAAGCCCGAACAATATTCACATCCTCTTAACATGTTTCATGAATGATGTCATATGATTCCTCTAACAGAGGTTATTAAACAAGTTTTCAACACTATTACGATTTACACTACTCAGAAAAAATTAAGACCACCCAATTCTTTCATTGCATAACAGATACCTTCAGTCATATAATAGAAATGGGTCATCCTTAACATTTTTCAGCAGTACAAGAATGTGTTTATTATTGTTATGATGACAGCAGTGTATGTAGGTCAGCACTGTACAGAAAGCCATAATGATTGCCAAGAAGGAAGCAGCCTTCACCTTGCAGTACATGTGTTGCTTGTTTTGTATTACCAAACTGATCCTATCCAGTTAATGCACACACAGTTTCTGTAATGTGTCCTAAATGTAAATGCCAATTCTTTCTCATTCAGGTGAACTAATAAAGGCTTTAGAACATTTTAAGCCACACTGGAATAGCACAGAAAACTTAGGGATTCATGGTTACATGACAAATGTTCGGCATGTGAGTGTAGCATGTTATGGGTTGTCCTCACATCTTTGTTAGTGGCAGCTAGAACTGAAATCTGATGTAAATGAGATTGAGCTAACACTTTAACCACTAGCCTACCCCACCGCTCATCTAGATCTTGTAGTACTCATCAGCTCTAGATTCTGTAACTAGTCCGAAGTTGTAATCAAAATTCATCATGGTTAAGATTGCCAAAAAGCAAACTATTACTTGTATTTTGAAGGTGAGTGAGTGAGTTGTGTTTAACGCCGCTTTTAACAGTATTTCAGTTATATCACGGCGTTTCAGCTTTATGTGGGAGGAAAGCCCGAAGTGATGCAGGTCTCCGACGTTTACCACTTCGGTGAAACCCACGAGCACGGGTATGGTGCTGACAAACCTAGAAACATAATTGGGGCGAACCGGGATTCGAACCCACAATCATAGGTTTCTGGCGTGCCCAAGGGACGCAACTCTGTACAGCGAATCGCGGCGCCTTAGACGACTGGGCCACCCGTGCCCCCTTGAAGGTTTTCAACACATATCGAAAGGACTAGACTAAAAGAAGTAAGTTTCTATCCCTGCATACCATCTGGAATACCAGTGCATGCAATACAATGACAGTCCATGACAAAGTTTGTCAATATACTGTCAGAGACTGAATCTAATTTTCTGTAGCCATTAGTTTGAAACCAAGGTGAAATGTTTTCAGTCCAGAGATGAGTTAATAACAGTCCATAAAATAAGATTAAAATGTACTCTCAACTTACTCAAAGGATACAAAGGAAAGGTTCAAGTCTGTGTACCCGACCGAACGCTTAGTGGACAGCTTGTATGTGCTTTCCCCAAGAGTACTTCACAAATGACAGTTGTTCACTTCAAGAAGCAATGTAAAGATATTGCTGGTTGTGATTCTTCACAAGTTGGGCCCACATCTTTGCAAATGGCCCAGTATTTTGGTCAGTTGGCATGGTATAATGCAGCATGGGCTATTTGCCATGTTGAAGGTCACATCCATGTCTTCAACTACATCAGTCTTCAGCTGTTTAAACTACATCCTCCCCAACTCCAGCAAGACACTGTCCTGTCAGACCTTCACGTATATAGCAACACTGTCGTGTCAGACCTTCACGTATATAGCAACACTGTCGTGTCAGACCTTCACGTATATAGCAACACTGTCGTGTCAGACCTTCACGTATATAGCAACACTGTCGTGTCAGACCTTCACGTATATAGCAACACTGTCGTGTCAGACCTTCACGTATATAGCAACACTGTCGTGTCAGACCTTCACGTATATAGCAACACAGTCGTGTCAGACCTTCACGTATATAGCAACACTGTCGTGTCAGACCTTCACGTATATAGCAACACTGTCGTGTCAGACCTTCACGTATATAGCAACACTGTCGTGTCAGACCTTTACGTATATAGCAACACTGTCGTGTCAGACCTTCACGTATATAGCAACACTGTCGTGTCAGACCTTCACGTATATAGCAACACTGTCGTGTCAGACCTTCACGTATATAGCAACACTGTCGTGTCAGACCTTCACGTATATAGCAGCACTGTCGTGTCAGACCTTCACGTATATAGCAACACAGTCGTGTCAGACCTTCACGTATATAGCAACACTGTCGTGTCAGACCTTCACGTATATAGCAACACTGTCGTGTCAGACCTTCACGTATATAGCAGCACTGTCGTGTCAGACCTTCACGTATATAGCAGCACAGTCGTGTCAGACCTTCACGTATATAGCAACACAGTCGTGTCAGACCTTCACGTATATAGCAACACTGTCGTGTCAGACCTTTACGTATATAGCAACACAGTCGTGTCAGACCTTCACGTATATAGCAACACTGTCGTGTCAGACCTTCACGTATATAGCAACACAGTCGTGTCAGACCTTCACGTATATAGCAACACTGTCGTGTCAGACCTTCACGTATATAGCAACACTGTCGTGTCAGACCTTCACGTATATAGCAACACTGTCGTGTCAGACCTTCACGTATATAGCAACACTGTCGTGTCAGACCTTCACGTATATAGCAACACTGTCGTGTCAGACCTTCACGTATATAGCAACACTGTCGTGTCAGACCTTCACGTATATAGCAACACTGTCGTGTCAGACCTTCACGTATATAGCAACACAGTCGTGTCAGACCTTCACGTATATAGCAACACTGTCGTGTCAGACCTTCACGTATATAGCAACACAGTCGTGTCAGACCTTCACGTATATAGCAACACAGTCGTGTCAGACCTTCACATATAATATCAACACAGTCATGTCAGACCTTCACATATATATCAACAATCTCAGTCACAAAAGTAACATATTGACCATCAAAAACTGGTCAGTTAACAAAACAATTATTGGCCAATTATTATAACTTGTACATTGTATCGTAGGCTCATTTAAAAGGGACCTGTACGTTAGCAGGTCGGAAAACAAACATTTTAAAAATGTAACAAAATTGAATAATCTAAATTTGTCATCTTATATCTATTTCTGAAAACAAAGAACACATACATATCAGACCTGGTGATCTGTCATGCAAGCCAAAAACAAAAATCTAAATATTTTAACATCATAAACTTTCATGTTTACAGAATTCATCAAAGATGATGGCCATCATTGTGTCATGTCATACTAAAAAATACAAGAAGACTATAAGCTACAGAAGCAACAGATTGTTTTACATTTTTACTCTTGCGTAGATATTTTGTCAAGGCAGGTGACAGAAGAAACAAATTTCTGACAGTTTTTCTCTTCTCTTGCTTTTTTCTTTATAACATCCTGTCAGTAATAAATCTCTTATTAGCAAAATACATGTACATGGAAGCCCCTTTCAGTGAGTACTGACGAGAATACTGGAAATTTAGGGGTCAAGCAGGAGTTTTTAAAATGCCATAGCAATATCAAACAGTAATTTATGAAAATGAAAGACAAAAAAAATAATGAAAAAAATGAAGGTCCCATGCGGCTGTTTGCCAAAGAAATTCATCTGTTTCCACCAACAACACTAAGGTGTCACAAGAGTAAAATGGTTACATCAGGTCACTGGTAACATTTTCTACTGATATCAAGTACTGTGTTAATCTCCATCACAGCCAAACAGTAATATATATATTTAATGTCAATCTTCAGGTTGTGAGTGAGGGAGTTGGGTTTAACGCCACTTTGAACAGTTTTCCAGTTATGTCACAGCGTGTCAGCTTAATGTGGGAGGAAAGCCCGAAGAGATGCAGGTTTTAGACATTTACCACTTTGGTCAAACCACGAGCATGGGTATGGTGCTGACGAACATTGAAATATAATCAGGGCGAACCAGGATTCGACCAACAATCATAGATTTCTGGTGTCCCCAAGGGACACAACTCTCTTAGATGACTGTGCCACCCATGACACCTGATCTTCACGTCAGATTATGTTCTGGTCTAATTATTTGACGATGTACATTCGCCATATCATATAATGATCTATCACACACAAAGCTGTTTACAAGTAATTCAAAGCATCTGTGTTCCAATCTTATCATGTACAAAAAATTCATGATAATCCTGCTCATACAGCAGTACGCTACCTCTGAACATCATGATTATATGTGTGTTAATGTATTGAAATATAAAGTTACACTACAGCATTCTAATATTCTGAGAAATGGGATAATGCATCCCATAGTAACTATGGTAACACAGATGCTCCAATCACTGCTAAGATGTTTTCATCTTGACTCAGAGCACTGTAAAATACACCAATCAACTCGAACATATTACTGCTGACATCTTAAAAAACTAGATTACAAGCCATTACAAGTTATGATTATGCAAACATCAAATATATATTAAAACATGCTTGCAGCATGCGATTGCATTTACAAATCAACACTCACTGTACATTATTCTAAAAAATATTGGGGTTTTAGTAATGGTTTTGACAATACAGACATCATTAGGGACTGGCCACTTATTACTTGTGGGTTGGAGGGGGGAGGGGGGAGGGGGGAGGGGGGGGATGATGGTTGTGAGATTGGACTCGGGACTGTATCATATTTTGCCGACCCTCCCATTTTTTCATCCCCCCCCCCCCCCCCTTTCCCAATACATAACATGTTTACATGACATCCACCCCACCACCTGGTTGTGTTAAATTCTGGTGTCCCCACATCACCCCCCAACCTCAACGCACCCCTAATCTCACAGGCCCCCCTCTCCCCTATAACAGATCACCAGTCCCTTACATGTATTGATCATGCACAAACAGTATGTGAACACATGGATCTGCTGTCCCTTGAGGAAATCATTTCCTGACAATTAAACCACTCAAAGCTAACACTATATATAGATATTGAGAGATGTATGTTTTAATTCTGCTGTCAAATATTCTTGGTCTCTAATAAATGCAGATCTTTCCTGTTAATTTACCAAATAATGTAAACATATTTTCCCATACCGCATTGATCTTTTCATCTTCATCCATTTCATGCTTCCATCTAGCCTCCACATCCTCCGCCACACCCTCCTCCACACCCACCACCGCACCCACCCCCACATCCACCGCCGTCACCACCACCACATCCACCCCCTCCTCCCCCTCCCCCACATCCACCACACCCTCCACATCCACCACACCCTCCAGTATCTCCAACATCTCCACATCCTATGTCTCCTCCATCCATGCCACCCCCAACATCCGTGTCAACCACCCCAGTGTCCACTCCATCAATGTCACCCATCCCACCTCCACCACAACCCGCACAGGCATTGGCGCCATAGGTGTGGTAGATGTAGTGGTTGGATGGTGTCATGGTGATAAAGCCTGCAGCCATGATGAAGGCCATGTCATTCGACGGGATGTATTGCACGGATTGTGTTCCCCTTGAGCTTTGCTTCTGAACAGGTTCCCCTGGCTTCCAGTCGGAGGAGCGGGGCTGACACAGCACGTGTAGAAGGGAGATAGAGAAGGCTAGGGCGATGTGCTCCGGGATCTGGCTTGTGTCTTCTTCCACGCGAACATAGCCATGCTTCAGGTCCATGAACAGAGACCCAAACTTGAAAGAGAACTTCTGATGCAGATAATCTGTAAGTTGGATCTCCTTCGAAGATCCGTGGAGTAAGTCGTAGAATTTGAAGGTCAAGTAGCCTGGACACCCAGGCACTCCACGCTTACCCCGATGATGTCTGGTTCCTGAATAGAGAGCACACAAGTGAGTTTGTGGGCGATGATTGAACGCTGAACAGTAATTTGTTATAATGAGGCAGTAAAGCTGGAAGCAACATAATGTTTAGAAGTATAACATTTTTGTGAAATCCACAAACATGGCCGACAAACATTACCATAATTTGGTCAGATCAGAGTCTCAACTCATGACGGTTATTGACCATTTGAATCCATGCCGGGCTGCAGGATGCACCACAAAGTGGGACAACCATACCCAGACTAAACAATTGATACTTGAAAGCTTTTGCATGACAAATGTTTGTGTTGAAAAGTGGAATAATTGCGAAATATGAAATACATAGCTAAGTGTTTACACCAAAGTTAGAAGCGGTGTACACCAATAACAGTTAACAGCGTCCGACACTAATTGTTTCAGTCCACTAGTCCTTATAATGATAACATATAGCAAAACCACCCAAAAAGGCAAATTTCTACCAGTCCTTATTGTACCTTAACTATTGGGCAGTTTGGCAAGGACTATATGACTTGTGCCAATTTCTAACACTGCAGTTATTGCCCTTCAATATGACATATCCGGTTATGCAGTTGTTTAGGCAGAACAATGGCGACATTCATGTGGTTCAAGTACAGCGGAGGGGCAAAAACAAGTTTATTTCAACCACTGACACTGACACTTTTAGAATTTTCGATCACCGACATTGTAAAAAAAAAAAGGAACAAGTGATTGCCTTCTGAACAGTGCCGTACGATCATCAGGATCAGGACACATCGTAGTTCATATTAAAGCATCAGAATGTGGTAGTCTTTGTGTTCATAACTCAACAAATATGTTGACTGCTGATCTCTTAAACATGCCAAATGAAAAGCAACAAGAGTTTAGTCTCGTTTCATAAGCATAGTGCACAAACATAAAATCATTCCAATTTCTAACCTTTGACCCCTGCCACTCCTTTTCTGTATCCTCCCCAGCGACCTTTCACAATGCCCCAGTCTCCTTCACTGTTCTTGATGAGGATGGCTCTCTCGCCTGACCTGGGGTTGAGTGTTATACACTTGTCAGGATGCTTTACCTGTAACCATGGCAACAGATGTAGCGAGTGAGTGAATGGGATGGAGAGGCCTCAAAACTCCAACTAAAACTGTCGGCAATGCGACCTAAAGTTCAGTCTGTCTACTATTAAAAAACTCTGAGGTCACCAAATGACGACCTTGAAAAAATATCTTGTGGTGACTGAATTTATTGCTTCACATGTGTAGACACACAAACAAATAACATGTTTGAATTTGCTACGCCGTTTTCTCAATCGCCTGTTTTTCCCGATTGCAGTGGGACTCGTATCACCTTACTCATCGTCTGTGTTAAGTAACATTTTGATAGCTCCATGCAGCGCTGACAGGATTTGGTTACGCTAAATATTGTTACTATGTGCGATGCATCAGTTTACGAACTTCTGGCATGCGTAGACTGTTCTGTTTTATTTGACATGGCAAAGTACTTTTCCATTGTTGCACAGCAAAAAATGATCGCACGACCAAAAGTTGTGAGTGAAACCGATGATGATAGTAACTTTGGGAATAATAATTGTGATGATTGACGTGCTTCTGACCCACTGACATTTGAAAGTAAATCAAAATTGTTTTCTGTGAAAAGAAAATTAAACAAAGTTTGGGTGACGAAGTATGCGTGGCTAATATACGATTCCAAGATTAATGCTAGGCTTAACTTGTCCATATCAATAATAATAATATGAATTTGATTAAAAGATAATTTCAAATGTTTTCATCCACAACACAATATCCTATAATAGTAAATTTTACATTAATTTGGACATTTATATACTTATTCTATCTCACACTGTGCATTCTTCCTTCTTCTTTCGATCCTTATGTGGAAACATGCTGGAACAAAGTTTCCAGCTTCTAAAAACATTTTGTCCGAACACATGCCAGCATCACCATGGTCTCACCACCCAAACAAATGGGTCACACACTGTAAGTGTAATCCTGTGCGTTGTGACCTTACACAAGCTGATCACCTGACTATCATCCTCTTTCTTGATTATTGCACTTATATAGCAATGTGACCCCTTTATGCTCATCGAATGTAACATCATGAAAACGGGTATAACATGTGTTACGTGTACCATGTGTACATGACATTCATCTTGTGCACTCAAAAGAACCCATGCATCTATTGGTAGATGAGCAAGTTAGTGAGTGAGTATGGTTTTACGCCGCTTTTAGCAATATTCCTGCAATATCACGGCGGAGGACACCAGAAATGGCCTTCACACATTGTACCCATGTCGGGAATCGCACCCGATGTGACGAGCGAGCGCTTCAACCACTAGGCTACCCGACCGCCGCTGTTGGTTTGTTTGTTTGTTTGTTTGTTTGTTTGTTGTTTAACGCCGCACTCAGCAATATTCCAGCTATATGAGGCCACTGTTGGTAGATGACCAGATAGTGGAAACACGAATAGGTTTATTCAGCTGCTGCACAAGTGTCTTAGTTCAAATGTGCCTCTGATCATCCAGCAGCAAATAGGTACCTGATATCATATGTGAGGTGGGTGTAAAAACCCTCTAGCGCCTGTAGGCAGCATGGGATGTATATTCCCCAGGGAGTTGAGAATGATAACTGGAATGCATACAGATCCACTGATCAGGGAACAAATAAACTGCATATGAGCAGAGATGTCTGGATAAATCAGTGTTCCCGCTGGCTTTTGAAACTGCCAGTCCTTGTGGCCAGTCCCCTTTAATTTTTGTCAGTCGCAACATGTTCAACATATATACGATGTCATCATCTCTGAAGTAATTTAGTTAGATCATTCACGCAAAGTTCAGTCACAATTTTCTCTAATTTTAAATATTTCGAGACTAAATCACAACAAATATATATTCAACCTTGAAGCATGTGAAGCAATGAAAATGTTATTTTCCTGCACAGAAAATAGTCATGGGGAAACCCAGATAGCAACAAACAAGCTTACTTTGTTCGAAAACTATACTTATATGAATATCGTCGATGTGATGTTCAATAACAAAGATTTATAAGGTACTTTATTTGCCAATCCACAGGGACTGGCAGTCAGATGAATTACCGGTCCAAGCCTAATTTTACGGGTAAAATACTGGTAATTACCGGTAAACGGGAACATTGTAAGTGCTGAAAATAAATGTATGATGTATGTGAACCTTTGAGAAATTTGAATGACAGCAAGTGCCTACCTGTGTTGGGAGAGGTATCTGGTCTGAACCCACCAGATGGGCTACAGCAGCCATCTTGTCGTGATAGAAGACCTGGATAGCAGACGTGAGCAGTGGAAGACTGTGAATGACACGTACTGTGAACACTAATTGTTGGGTGTGGTTCACCAGCCTGTAAGAAACGGGAGGAAACTAACAGTCTCTGTATTTGCTACCTTGTGTTAGTACTGAGATCATCAGGCATAAATACCAATGCCAAGGTTAATATTACTGAGGTGCTACATAAACATGATAAACTAATGCTTTACCATGTCTGCAGCATTCCATCACTTCCTTGCTGGCACACTGAACTTACAAACACCTTGGGGTCTGGTCAAGATGAGGGGGTGTGGGTTTGTTTGTGTGTGTGTGTGTGTGTTTGGGGGGGGGGGGGAGGTGAGGGAAAAGGAGGACCACTGATTGGTATATTTTGCTGATCCCCCCCCCAACCTTATGTCTGATAGTTTCACCCACCACCTCAATCCCCAATACATGCAACATTTTTCCAGGACCTCTCTCCCTATAATCATCATCATAGATGACAAGCTCCCCTCTCCTATATTATTAAATTACCTGGGGGCACGGGTGGCCCAGTCGTCTAACTCTAAGGCGCCGCGATTCGCTGTACAGAGTTGCGTCCCTTGGGCACGCTAGAAATCTATGATTGTGGGTTCAAATCCCGGTTCGCCCCGATTATGTTTCTAAGTTTGTCAGCACCATACCCGTGCTCGTGGGTTTCACCGAAGTGGTTAACGTCTGAGACCTGCATCACTTCGGGCTTTCCTCCCACATTAAGCTGACACGCCGCGATATAACTGGAATACTGTTAAAAGCGGCGTTAAAAACCCAACTCACTCACACTATTAAATTACCTTTCCCCTGAACGTGTTGATGAGTGTCCCATGGACATGATGAAGTCACAGCGTAACAATATCTCATTTCTTTCATCTTGCAGCCTAATCTGCTAAAATACTGGTTCAAAAGTTTAATGTCGGATAAAAAACTTAATTCCTTAAGTTTTGAGACATAACCCTGTACCCACAAGAAAACTTAATTCTGAAAATGTTGAATATCTGAGTTTACTGGCCTCTTTTGTCACCATTTTCGTGTTTTGCCCTTGTTTTATGATGGAACTTTCATCAAACAAAGTTTCTTAACTTGGCGTTGACAATCATTTAAAGGATTTTTATAGATCATCATATATTACACACTAGATGGATGAATAATCTAGTTAATATTTTAGATGAATAAGGCCAAAAGCAGGAGAAATGTGTTGGAATTGGTGAGCAAGCAGTTGGCGCTAAGGTGATCATAACTCCCTTAACATAGACTTACGACAGTCATAGAGATATGATTGTTTCAGTGATGAATAAACAAAATCGCTGTACGACTGTACTATCGGGTATATAGATAGGAATTTTAAAAAGTCAGTGGTACTGTCAATGGTACGCATAACAATCGATAATTAACAATTACAATTAATTATAAATAAAGCATAAATTCTGCATCAGAGCGAGTGAGTGAGGTTTAACGCCGCTTTTAACAGTATTCTAGTTATATCACGGCGTGTCAGCTTAATGTGGGAGGAAGGCCCGAAGTGATGCAGGTCTCAGACGTTTACCACTTCGGTGAAACCCATGAGCACGGGTATGGTGCTGACAAACCTAGAAACATAATCGGGGTGAACCAGGATTTGAACCCACAATCTTAGGTTTCTGGCGTGCCCAAGGGACCCAACTCTGCACAGCGAATCGCGGCACCTTAGACGACTGGGCCACCCGTGCCCCCACATCAGAATTACATCAGAGTTTTAACCTTGCCGTGTGTATGGTCATAATGAAGTGAGGTGAGGTGAAATGGGGTTTAACGTCGCATCGAAGATTATTGCACTTATGTAGCGACGTGATGGTCATGATGATAAGATTAGAGTTACTTCCCTTTATTGGGTAGCAACAGCGTGGAGAATGGCCATATTTGACATTGTCAGCAATACCTTATTCATTTCTACTACACCGATTGATGTAATGCCCAAGCCTAAAAGCTGGTTTAATACTATCGCATTACTATTGGGTAGGGTACTATTGGGTAGGGTACTATTGGGTAGGGTACTATTGGGTAGGGTACTATTGAATACAAACGCAATTGTGAAAATAGCCCCAATAGTCACCCCAGTTATTGAAGTTATTATTTTCTAAACAGAGACATGGTAGAGGTATATTAACATTGTATTCATTCAATCATCATAAGGTCCTTCCCCAATATTGACCCTATTATCAATGAAATACAAATCAATTCACAAGGCTATATATTTTCCATATAAACATGATAAAGTACTAACTGTTTGATAGGCATTACTTAGACGTTGATGGATGACAAGGTGGACACAATTTTATGGATAACAACTTCATTAATACTGTAAAAAACGACAATTGCTTTTACAGTATTAAGAAGTTGTTATCCATAAAATTGTGTCTACCTTGACAACTGTACTAACATGAATTTGGATTATTTTTGATATCAAGTTTGGAATATTTCCTGACAGTTGCCGAAGACTTTGGGCCGAATATTGACCTCTGAGCAGGTCTAGATAGATCTCCGTGTACACACCGAAACAACACTTACTGATGAGTGGCAACTTCACATCTGTTTTCTTCCCCAGGCTTTACAGGTGGGAGCGGAACTGGACCCCACATTGATTCCACATTCTCCGGCATGATGCAGTTGTCATAGCGACCAGAGGAAAGGAACAGCAAGCATGGCCCCTGAACTGGTGGGGAAAGGCTTCCCTTGAAGTTCACCTTCAGCTGATTGTTCCCAAGGTCAATGTTGACATTCAGTGGAGTAGCCGTTGTTCCTCCAGTTTCAATATGTGAGAGCATCGGATACTTACTTTCTCCCAAAGTCATCTGGCTGCCGAAGCAAGCAAAGCCTGTTCTTTCTTCCAGGCGAAATTTGAGGCAATTGGTTGACTTTGTCTCAAATTTGTAGTTGACAAGATTCTTGTCTTTCCATTCCTGGTTAGGACTCTTCAATGAGGCCAAAGTCTGCATTTCTTTGTGGTCTGCAGCAGCAGATATCTTCAGCTTAAACTTCTTCACACTAGACGGCAGGCCCGATAATTTGACCGACTCCAATTTCAATACAGCTGACTTTGTAGCAGCAGCAAAGATCTCGGCTCTGTCCATGTTGTGGAGTTTTCCATCAGGTGGGTTGCCCCGATACATTGCACCATACATAGCAAAGCCTTCTCTGAAGTTTAATTGCCAAAGTTCACGAGTTTCCATGTCCGAGTTGTACAGCTTGGAGCCCACAGAACGGTCAGTGACAGTATCGTCATGGTTGAAGGTTTTCCCCAGAAGTGCTTCACTATCCTTCTTATACAGAAGAGGGTGCAGTTGATGTGTGTGCCAGATTAAGTCAATGTCGTAGCATGGGACGATGAACTTGCCCGGATTCATTTGCTTCAAGTAGATAAACTTCTTGTATCGATCCTGACAAATGTCCAAATACTTCTGGTCATGGTAATGAGGAAGTGAGATTTGATAGAAGAAGACTTTTTGTCTTGACACAGCATCGACAAGGTCATAAGAAGACACCAATGGTCCTTGAAGCTTGGGATCCACCAGGGAACCGAGCAAGTCAACCTCAAATGGCTCAGATGGATACATCTGTCTCCAGTACTGCTGGGACTTGGCTAGTGAGGATTTTCTTTCGGATGAATTCATGAGCTTGTGGTCCACGATACATCCAGCAATTGTGTGGGAATCCTTCTGGTATTTCAGAGGAGCCAACATGTGACAATGCCACACCCATTCTATATCCAAGGGTGCTGCCAGTTGTTCTCTGGGATATTTGGCAGCAAGAGGCAGCCAGAACCTTTCATATCTGTTGATGGCTTGCAGTAGGAGTGGGCCCCCATGAAGGGCAGGGTAGCGATTGACCTCCCTGAGAAACTGTCGCTGTAGGGCAGCGGACGACTTAAGGTCCAAGGAGAACTTCACAGATTTCCACTGGGACATTTTTGTCTGTTGAGAAAATAAAATCATGAATGACTCACAGGATTCTAAAACATTATGATCGTATAAAACATAGTCTGGAATTTCTAATCCCCATATAGTACCGGCATAAATATTGTGGGGCAAAACTATGATTACTTACCATTGTTTGATTCTAATTGCATATCCACAATTTTAGTGGGTATTCATTTATTTTATTACTCACCCATTTCTTGATATTTGGGTACTTTAACTTTCTAACGTAAAGCCATTTTTGTTTGTGAAAACCAAGCATTGTAAGAAAGATGTGTGGTCATTGGACTCAATTTTTAGCAGCACCAATCAGTTACCGTTTGAAACATATTGACTTGGCACAATGTACTTTTCAAATGGAATCTATCTATTTTACCAAACATAATTGATGGAAAATGAATTCTGCGATCAGCTGATGGGCATTTGTTTTATCTTACAGTTGGAATATATGCATTAGTATTATTTCAATGGTGCATTTATAGTTTCTGCACTCTCACAATGTACAGTAAACTACATTGACAATACATAAGTACATGTATGACAATGCGAAAGGTCTTCTCTGTATCTACTGCAATCTCATCAAAAATAAAATCATATTATTATGAGAACACCATCATTTGAGGCTTTGTCAGGTGAACCTTCTAATCAGCTAATCAGAGTCAAGGCTTATAAATTCTTGTCACATGTGAGTGATGCATTCAGACAAGCATATCTGATTTCGGTATAATACGAGAAAATCCAAATTAAAGTAAATAATGATTCGCTGGTTGTCTCCCAAAACAAATACATGCTACATTCACGGTATGCCAAAATCACTACACTTAGTTAAACCAAAGGCAAATTACCCATTGATGTGGTCATGGTAGTGGAACAATCCAAGCGGAGGGAGTAGACCAATAGGAACCAGATGTGAGAGATCAAGTTAAGAAAGATTCCCTCATGTTAACTAGAAGTTGAGTATCTTTGAAAAATGAATTGAAACATACCAGACCATGTATTTGATATTAGACCATGTATTTACATGAGATGATAAATAAGGTGAGTAAACCAATTAGAGGTGAGGTGAAATTGGGTTTAATGTCTCGTCAAAGATTATTGCACTTATATATCGACGTGCATGTACGTGTATGTGTTTGTGTGGCTGCTTGTACAGGGTTAGAAACTAACAGTTTTTGTCTACTAGTCCTTATGACGATAACATATAGCAAAACCCTTAAAACGGGCCAATTTCTACTAGTCCTTAGGATACCTTTACTATTGGGCAGTTTGGTAAGGACTAAAGGACTAGTGCCAATTTCTAACGCTGTTGTACTGGTCCAGACAGATGCCGATTTATAGTGCTAGCTCACTGAAATACCATGCCGCAGTTTAACATGAATACCCCACTCAGACACAGTATACTGACTCCGAGCCGACCAGTTCTTGTTTTAGCTCCTTAATGCTGAGCGCCAGACAGGGTAACAACAAGTACCAATACTACCATCTCTTAACATCTTTTGGTATGACTCGGCCTGGGATCGAACCCCGGACCTTCTGCTATCCGAGCGGACACTCTATCACTAGACCACGGAGGCGGTCAAACCAATTAGAAGTAAGTAAAACAAGAGTCATCGGGAGATGAGATATCCCCCTGGTCTGGTGCAATTCGGAAATGGAGTTTGGCTACTTATACCCCACTTTTGATTCATTGCTACCTTCAGTTCAATGAAGAAAAACATAATGTTGTGTTTAGTATTTTTCTATATCACAAATAAACAAAAGGCACAAATTCACCACTAGATTGATCTGTATAGCACGTTTCATCAAGAAATATTCAACGGTTTAGGAGTTATGCCCCGGAAACAAGCACTACCCTCATTTTCATTAAAGTCCAACTCGTCATCCTGAAAACCTAAAAATTTAAAACAAACCAAAAAAATTATTAAAGTAAAGGGATAATTCTAGGTAGGGGCCTTGTGCTTTTAGCCCCTAAATTTGAAAAAAAGGCGAATGTCAGAAAATTCCTAGAGTGAACCCTGAAAGAAGCCACGGTATAAATATGCAAGATTCCCCTTGCCACACTTAGAACAGGACTTTTTGTGTATTCATTATAAACAAAAACAATTTGGGATGTTACATCATCAATTTGATGAAACAGACACGACCATGCACTGTGGTAAACTCCATATGCATCATGATCTCGTAATACTAATATTACAATTCTTTTTGTATATCTAACTTAATTTTCTAGAATTACTTACAGACGTAAAAATATTTGCAAAACATATCTCATATTTATCGAGTTTGTAGATGATTTTAAATTTTAAATTGCCATCATGCTGTTGTTTTTTGATAAAAAAAACCATGAATTTAAACTCAGATTTAAGATATCTGATATAAGATTATTTAAATCTGTTTAAGTATAGGAGAATGTCAGAAATCTCGCAATTATTTTCGCACGTGAAGCCAGTTCGAGGCTGTTAGGACGAGAACAAGTTTCATATGCAAAAATAATCGAGATTTCGGACTTTCTCCTACTTAAAACAAAGTTCGATCAAGTTAATGTCCCAAATTAATCTTCAAGTGATATTCACTATACTTACTATTCTATACGATGGGAGGGTGACCGCTCTTGTTAAACTATGGGAGGGGAACCTTTCAAGGAAGACTATCGGATGATTTAGTACCTATATTCAAACTATTGGAGTGTTAGCAAAATGATTGCGTCTATCCAACTGTCATTAAAGTTCACATAACTTTGTTTTAACAATTGAGACAAGTTCCTAATATGAAACATATCCCACAGTCAATCACATAATTTGGGATTAGCTTCCCACTTGACATGCTGGACCAGTAACTTTGTCGTTTTAGACTGTAGTGATTTTGGAAAGTAGTATTTTGGGAGGATACCTGCTTCCCTATTATTTATTGTTATAGGTTCTGTGTTTTGTGAACACCTTGGCATCTCCAGACTACACCACAATGGGTTACTACAACGGTACATATGTGTTCTGAGATGGTTTCCTTTGGCAGAGATCGAAATTATTGATTAAGAAAAACAGAGCAGAATTGTTTTAGAAAGCTGACATCCGAATGGCTCTGGAACCAATCGTTTTGACTGGTATCGTAACTCATAACTTTCATGTACATCACTTCTTCTTGATGCGAAGAACGGCAATCTTGCTAAAAACTGGCTTCAATTTTATGTATCTAATTAACACTGGCTTCATTTGTACATGTGTATAAACAGATGTCATGTTCACCTAACACCTGATAAAGGGGCAAGAAGTAACCCTGAAAGGATGTGTATGTAAAATAAAGAAGTTATTATCCAAAATATTACTCCTTGTTATATCATAACTTAGTCATCCAGCACTGAATACTTGGTCATTAAAATCTCAGTTCATTGCAGTCTCAGGACCAATTAGTTTGAAAGTATGAGCATGCAATGTTACTACTGTCTCACAGTCTCTGAACCATATTATTTTCCCTTCTGCCCCGAATTGACTGTAATGCTATAGCCTTCAATGAAGCAAGTCTAGATTTACCACAGGTTTAGTCATCTCACTGGGACTCCTTTTCAATTTAAATGCAGTTGCATAATTGTTTCTATCAACATTATTTATTTTCAGATCTCAATGGGTCTTCTTTTCAATTTCAATTTAGTTGCTTGTTTCCATCAAAATTAGATATTTTCAAACTAAGCCTTCGTCTTGAAATGTTACATAAACTAGACAATTTATCAATTGGCTCGTGGTGTTTACTGTGTACCAAAAGAATATCAATACCAAGTTATTTGACAGGCATGACACCCCTTTATTCATAAACTGGTCCATAGAGAAGCATAAACAAACAACGATTCCAAATTTAACGGAATTTGGAATTTCGACAAGATGGCCAAACCCTTACAGGGCCCCTTTCACGTACAATAACATTTCAGAGTCGTGCGTGTGTGCAGACACTGGTTGGACTAGAACGAAATGTCTCGTATCTAAACAAACCAAGTCACGGGGCGACTGCAGTGACGACCAGCATAGCGACGACAGGCAATATAACGGAAATATTGGGCAAGTTATTCCAACGTCCAATTCAATGTCAGTTCATGTTGATTCATAATCTCGCACAACCTCGATTTAGTCGAGCGAACATCTCGCCAGCATATTTTACAAAGATTTAACACTCTCCTAGACAACTCACCAGCAATTTACATCAAACTTTACTGTTCCGGAAATCTGTAAATGTGCATATCTGTATATACCCGTCAATGATATCGTCAACTTTAGCTCCACTTCTGTTGTTTACGATATACCTCCATATATCCGGATACGCAAATCATCACGTGGTATCAAATTGACCAATCATATCACCTGTATGTGTGTAGACATTTCCACCCTCCAATGACAGAGCGTTTTGCATTTGCAGCAATTTCCATGACGGGGTTAGCTTGACATATCGTCTAAAACTTACGTAATAGCCGATGCAAAGAATGGAAGTGGAATTTTTCAAGCAACAGTGACAGAGTGGTTTTCCCAGTCGGTTTATGACGCAGCTAAAGCGTTTCAGCTGTTCATTTGTTTACCGCTTTGTTATGAAAGTGACAGTACAATTCACGACAAGAAGTTTGGAATAATGCCTGTTGGTTTCAATCAGTGAGTGAGTGAGTTTGGTTTAACGCCGCTTTTAACAGTATTCCAGTTATATCACGGCGTGTCAGCTTAATGTGGGAGGAAAGCCCGAAGTGATGCAGGACAAAAGTACGCAATTAAGGTCAAATATTACGAATAAAGAACTAAATGTTACTACTAAAGGTCAAAATACAATATTAATAGTCAAATGTTACGAAAAGACGTCATAAGAAAAGAAAGAACAATGTGTACGAAAGAACGTCAGAGACCACGAAAGGACGTTTTCAATAAAGAACGTCAGTGAGCACGAAAGGACGTTGACAATAAAGAACGCCAGATGGCGCTGCAATTTGTAAAACATTCCGAGTTTGATCGGCTTGTTCCGCCGTGTATAGTATATGATAACTGCATGCCGAGGTGCACAATGTATTACGTCATTCCTCGTGCACTCACCGTCTGACGTCACATATATATATATACATGTATTTATAATGTATAATGTACACATTGTGTATAAACATGTTGCGTTTCATAAATACAGTATACGGTGTAATCCAACATCTGCCTAACATTGGTACATGTAATTTGTATACAACCTTCAAAAAACACTCACTTAACGCTAAACTAGGATTCATCTACAGTGATCCAATAACTGTTCATGCTTGGTGCAACACGAGGGTGCTATGATGCCGAGTTTTGTTTCAGACGCAGATTTTCATCTGAAAAGTGAACGTTGTGCGAGAGTTTGTTTTATTTAACAGCTTTTCGGAAACTGTGTGCGAACAAAATGCTGCCTAATATCTGAACAACAAATATATATACCAAATGGATTTGTATGCATGTGTATAACTTACACATTCGTTAGGAAAAATAGCTGGCCATAAATAAAAGAAATCGAGTTTCATCTATGACGCCAGGGTTCGTTTTTAAACCATATTTATTTCGCTTGTTTACATCCACATTTATATGTGTGACGTCAGACGGTGAGTGCTCGAGGAATGAGGTAAGACATTGTGCACCTCGGCATGCAGTTATCTTATACTATACACGGCGGAACAAGCCGATCAAACTCGGAATGTTTTACAAATTGCAGCGCCATCTGGCGTTCTTTATTGTCAACGTCCTTTCGTGTTCACTGACGTTCTTTCGTACACATTGTTCTTTCTTTTCTTATGACGTCTTTTCGTAACATTTGACTATTAATTTTGTATTTTGACCTTTAGTAGTAACATTTAGTTCTTTATTCGTAATATTTGACCTTAATTGCGTACTTTTGTCCTTTTTTTAAACTTTGTATTTTTTGACCGAATGGCCGCCCATACACGGTCATTGTGCTGACAAACCCATAAATATAATCGGAGCGAACCGGGATTCGAACCCACAATCATAGGTTTCTGGCGTGCCCAAGGGACGCAACTCTGCACAGCGAATCGCGGCGCCTTAGACGACTGGGCCCCCCGTGCCCCCTAGTTACAATGTCACTGCACACAGTTACATCGTATTACATCCAAGTACATCGTATTACAAAATCATTTGGTTATATTCACATGTATGCCTAGTTTGGGAATGTAGAAATACACGTCATTTACATCAGTGTCAATACTTGTCCATTATCCCGGCAGGTGTGCAGAGTCACGGACTTGTATTAGTTTTTTTGGTTTGGTTTGTTGTTTAACGCCGCACTCAGCAATATTCCAACTATATGACGGCGGTCTGTAAATAATCGAGTCTGGACCAGACAATCCAGTAATTAATATCATGAGCATCGATCCACAAGGAAGTATTATATCCTCACTTTTTTAACTTTATGATTGATTATATCTCCCCCAAACTACCAAATAATATATATCTACAGCAAAATTTGCCCACGATATTTCTTTCCGGACCGTAGCTACATCACTATTACAGGCCCAAATAAAAGAATTCAACTTCTACGAAATGATAAACATATTTTAGAACCGTCCTAAACAATTCATAATTATAAATAACCATCAACAATCACCACTTTCTTGATTTCGCATCGAAATTCCAAGCGCGGATTGCCTTCTACGACGTCCGCGCGCAAAATTCCACTTTAACCATAAACACTAAATGAATAAGCTCTCTCGCCAAGGTTAAGACAACTGAACACGCGCATACTACCACACCACGGACAACCACACAAGCCTGAACCCCGCCCAGCTCAACGTTTTTTAACATAGGAAATACCTCAATGAACCGAAAAAACACACAGACAGTCCTTAAAATAATGTAATCAAAGTGATTCAACCTATTGTTGATTTGAAGGTTTTCATTATCAATGACGAAGAAAAATTAAATAGGTTAGACTGTAGATATACATTACTTGTTTGTTCCATGTTCATGTAGTTATTATATGCCGAAAAGGCAGGCGCATTCTTGGTGTAAACAGTTGTGTAATGTTCTCAAACAATTTTCGTCCTTAATTCTTTTAATCAGGGCCACAAAAGCTTTCATTCACTCCTGTCCCTAAATATAGTTAAGTTTGTACATTCAGCCTGGTTCTACTAGATGACTACTACACTGTATGTTGTAACAATAACTGATGAAACACGTCGTAAATACAACGAAGGATACTGACGCTTTGTTTGTCGTTGTACGAATTACTTGGTTTCTCTAATTGTTGTCAGATGGTAAAAATAGCCTCTGTCCCACAGAGAGACGAACATCAACACAAGGAGGCCGGGAGATTATTTAACCTTAAGCACAAAACCCTTTCCATATCCAATATAAATCTCTGCATAAAGCAGAGTCGATAGTACCATTCCGACTTCTAGTATATCACGAGCATGTGGTTATAAATCACTATCCAATAGGGGTGATACCATCCAGGTGAGCGTATTCTGCCCCACCGGTCGTAACCGTCATAAACACATGCAAAGGTAAGTCAATTGTTCACCTTACACATTCGGACTGGAAAACTGGACATTCATAGTCAGTTAACTCCCTTGCCTCGGAAAGATGGACAGCAATAGATAGATCGCATATGTTAACAATGAAGACCATATGTATGGAGACAATTCATGGTTGTATATATAAAGTGAAAGCAGTCCCTGTAAAGAACGGAACTTATATCCCTTGGCCCTAGACTAATACTTAGTCCCAGGAATAAAGTTATCCTATTCAAAAATAAATATCTACAAAATAAAAGAGAAAATCCAAATGGGGCCAGAACAATATTTAATTCAGACTAGATTTGCCGAATCATTATACATCTGAGTTGGATTCGTTTTTCTTATTTATGCGGGGGCACGGGTGGCCCAGTCGTCTAAGGCGCCGCGATTCGCTGTGCAGAGTTGCGTCCCTTGGGCACGCCAGAAACCTATGATTGTGGGTTCGAATCCCGGTTCGCCTCGATTATGTTTCTAGGTTTGTCAGCACCATACCCGTGCTCGTAGGTTTCACCGAAGTGGTAAACGTCTGAGACCTGCATCACTTCGGGCTTTCCTCCCACATTAAGCTGACACGCCGCGATATAACTGGAATACTGTTAAAAGCGGCGTTAAACCCAACTCACTCACTCACTCACTCTTATTTATGCTCGTGTGTCTGGGAGACGAACTACCCTTTGCTCGTGAATAGCAGCTTGAATAGCAGAAGTGTGAACGATTTAAAGGCGCTGGTTAAACTGTGTGAACCTCCGAGCTTGCGAAAATATAAAATCGAGTTGATCGTAAACACCGATCGAGAATTCGGGGAAACCCCCGAAAGTAGTTCCGGCAAAAGTTCACACGATCAATTTCACAAAAAATTGTTCACATCGTGTGAACTTTTTCTGTCCGTTCACAGGTGTGTGAACTTTAAATATCAGATCACGTGACTACCCCTTCAGCCAATCAGCATGAAAGAAACAGTGTAAACCTCAAAGTATGAAATTATTTCGGTATGAACCGCATGTGGCAATGATATGTAACAGCAGTGAAACGTGAACAAATTTCATGTGCGCATATAGTTAAAGTAATGCAATTTTAAACAATGTCACAGACATTAATTACGCATTATAAGACTATTTTATAGTTATAAATGAAAGAGACTGACATATATATTACACATAGTCAGTAAATGAAGGGTTACAATGGTTGGATACAATGGATAAACACACTTTCTAGGCTTCAGCCAACTCAGTCCCAGTTTCTTTTGAAATAGCCGCCATATGAGAACCTATGGCATGAATTACCAAAGTCAGCCCCCGTGGAAGGTAAATGATACCTGTGGGAGCCGTGAAGATTCCGGGGTAGAATAGGTCTTCATGCAGCAACTCATGCTTGCCGTAAAAGGGGACTATGCTTGTCGTAAAAGGCGACTAACGGGATCGGGTGGTCAGACTCGCTGACTTGGTTGATTCATGTCATCGATCCCAATTGCGTGGATCGATGCTTATGATATTAATCACTGGATTGTCTGGTCCAGACTCGATTATTTACAGACCGCCGTCATATAGCTGGAATATTGCTGAGTGCGGCGTTAAACAACAAACCAACCAACCAAATGATACAGAGGCCTGATTAAGGTGTAACCTTTGGGTATCTTCTACTGGGCCACTTTGCAAGCCGTCTCACGCATAGACCGAGCAGCTCCACTCTTTAATTATTGGAGAGACGTGACTGACGTTTTCCAATAAATCATTGTGGAAAGAGGAATTATTAATCACAGAGTCCAGCTAGGTGAGTGAGTTGGGTTTAACGCCGCTTTTAACACTATTCCAGTTATATCACGGCATGTCAGCTTAATGTGGGAGGAAAGCCCGAAGTGATGCAGGTCTCGGACGTTTACCATTTCGGTGAAACCCACGAGCACGGGTATCGTGCTGACAAACCTAGAAACATAATAGGGGCGAACCGGGATTCGGACCTACAATCATAGGTTTCTGGCGTGCAAGGAACGCAACTCTGCACAGCGAATCGCGGCGCCTTAGACCACTGGGCTACCCGTCCCCCCACAGAGTCCAGGAAACTTTAAGGACGAGTAACGGTACTAACCCCGATTAACTCCTATAATTACACATCTTTTGTCAGTTTTAGCATTGATAAGCTTTCTGTTATTGTTTTAATAAGATTTTTATGATCAGGTTTTTTTTTCTGTATATACGTGGTCCTGTGCAGAGCGCACAGATCACAAATCAGGTGAAGTTGAGCAACGTCGGTCTCGGAGAGTAGTCGGTAGGGTGACCGCGTTCAGCAGCTAGACTCCTGAGAGTTTCTAGGGCTTCGGTCCTGCCCAACACTGAAGCACATGTACCACACGTGGTGTCTCCTTAGGCAAGTGACTCTGTTCGAAATGTGCCTCTGTTGACCCAGCAGTGAGTGGGTACCCGGTAGGATGAGATGGTAATGTGGCTGTTAACCTTCTGGCGCCTCACAGGCAGCTTGGGTTGTATACTCCCCAGGGAGGTGAGAATGAAAATCGAGTGCTCACTGATCCATTGACCGGGGTAATAATAGTGTAGCGCTATGAGCATCCATTTGGTGAAAGGAATCTGGCGCATTATAAATTCACTTAATTGGTCAACCTGTTTGCATAGCTTGCGCCCCTGTGTCGGTGGGGGAAGGGAGTCTGGTAGGTGAGGGCACCGGTTCTAGGATCACGGTTCCTTTGCCCAACACACTACTTTGACCCAAGACGGGTGGTAGAAGAGGCCGGGTTCATGTCAAGCCCTGGACCAGAACAATGTTCGTTTATTTTGCTATGTGATATTCTATTTGGACTGTGAATGCTAAAACTAGTGTGACCATGTTGGCCTAGAGTCTTAAGCCAGAAGTCGGTGGCTCATGGGCCAACCTGGTGATGTCAACCACTGAATGTTGTGTCTCCAATTTCTTGTTGTGGAACGAACCAGTATGACATTATATTTGATAGACAAATACAGCTATTCATGTTGTATTTGCTATAACACCCCTGTAGCCCTGGTGATATGGACTGGATGCCCTCGCAACATCGTCCTTGTTGGCACTCGATGGCGGGTGGGGATCACAGGTGCCGAATACTATTATCGCATCACGTCTCCAAACCAAAATTCTGGTTCATTGAAAACCAATACCCATCGTCATGTGAACTCTTTGTCATCTGATGTAGATGTCTCCCCAGATGTTGTTACTTGTTGGCCAAGGTTCATAGTTACATCATCTACTGATCGAAACCCTCTCAAACTTTATCCTTTTGCTGTGAATTCAGAGTGCCGGCGGAGAAGTGAAAAATGTAACACGTTTCCAAAATGGTTCACTTCTTAAAATTGTTGAATGTGCACGGAGACAACAATCTGTCAATCTGCTGGGTCTCCAACAGTTTGTCAACACCCAAGTTGTTGTTTCAGTGCACAAATCTCTGAACTCGTGATGAGGAATTGTTCGAGATCGAGCAATGTGTCTGTCTGACATATGACAGAAGATGAAATTACTGCATCATTATAAAGTCAAGGAGTTTCCCTAGAAAAAAGGCAATCAGAAACCAACCACACCTCTATGCATTTCTTCGCAACATGTTTGGTTGGTTGGTTGGTTTGTTGTTTAACGCCGCACTCAGCAATATTCCAGCTATATGACGGCGGTCTGTAAATAATCGAGTCTGGACCAGACAATCCAGTGATTGATATCATGAGCATCGATCCACGCAATTGGGATCGATGACATGCATCAACCAAGTCAGCGAACCTGACCACCCGATCCCGTTAGTCGCCTTTTACGACAAGCATAGTCCCCTTTTACGGCAAGCATGGGTTGCTGAAGACCTATTCTAACCCGGAATCTTCACGGGTCGCAACATGTTTGGAGCTTTTGTAGGAATCATATGAAAAGTACAAACGAGTTAGTCAGAGCAGTTTGAGGGCTGGTGGGGTAGCCTGGCGGTTAATCGTTCGCTCTGTTCGGAAGAGCCATGTCTCAAGGTAGGTTTACGAGCAGTAGTCCAAATGAAGAGCGCCCCTGCCACCCTATGCAAATGAGTCCCGCCACAGAGAACAGAATGGCACAGTTTCCACAAATCCACACAGTTTTTTGTTTTAGTTTGTTTGTTGTTTAACGCCGCACTCAGCAATATGGCATGGACCTACGCAATTGGGATACGATGACATGCATCAACCAAGTCAGCAAACCTGACCCCCCGACCCCCTTATAGTCGCCTCTTACGACAAGCATAGTTGCCTCCTACGACAAGCATGGGTTGCTGAAGACCTATTCTACCCCGGATCTTCACGGGTCAAGTCCACATAGTCAGTGATGCAGGTCCAACACCTTTGCCCTATTGAGACCACCGTACGTCGAAGAAGGCCTGGGGAAAGGCTTCCATATCCGAGGAAGGATCAGCCGGAGTTCCTGCAACGTTTTGGGGGGATTCGGAAGACGTCGCAAACGTCGTTCCATTTCATCTCAGACATCACGCCTGTATCGGAACACGGGTCCCCTATGTCGGATCGGTGAAGAAGGAAACGTACGTGACTCACAAATGAAGACGAGCCTTCTCCACTGACCTGTTGTCCTCCGCCAGCACGGGTTGTCGCTTCACCCCTGGAGACGTTGATGTTTTGTCATCAAGATTGGCCTTCGGACTTGCACGGTGACTCGTACGGATACCGTAGATGCATGTAAGTATTTTCGTCGACGTCTTTAATATTCGGACTCTGTTCTCGCAAGTACGCCTCTGTTAGGATGGGACGGGCTTAGAGATTTGCTGTCTGGAACAAAAGTAGCGTTTTTCTGAACTCTGCACTCCCGAAGATTGTTTATAGTGGCAATAATAGAGGATTGGATATCAGATATCGGATATCTGACCATTTATTGGGAGTTTTTAGAGCAAATTCTCTTCTTGCAAAACTCATATGCAATGATGGCGACAGATGTAGTTGGTAAATTGCGTTTGTTCGAACGTTTTCAAAAACATACCCTAGTTCAAATCCCAAAATCCTTAAATCCACGTCAAAATACTATTGTATTTGCGTACTTTATACATACGGTTGCTGTGATTTCCCACTGACAGCATTCCTTTAATAGATTTTGTTTTATAGCAAATGTGTCACCTACTGTAGATCTAAATATGATTAAAAACAACACTTAATAAAGAATGAAAAGAAAGTTTCTGTAGAGTCAGCAATAGTGTTTAATAATAAGCTATAGTTCCCTAATGTTGATATCACGCTTGTAATAAGATAATCTCCAAAATCGTGAACTGGAATGTTTGGTTGTGAGGCCGAGTTGTGGTCTAAGGGAGATAACTCTAACAAGGCCCGACAACATTACTGGTGAGGGTTCCAAGTTGAGTTTACCCTGGAGAAAGTGAGGATACTGATGCGTGCAGGTATTGTGAAGAGAGATCTGTCTACCGTGCAGCGATACCTTGAATCGCGTGATAGGGATTCTCGACTTCTAGAACTGATAGTTATATATGTATACTCGCGGGTTCTTACGGCGTCACAGGTCGCCGTCCGAGGACAATTTCAGTCACTGTCAGTGGGACAGTCTCCTCACTGTGTCATAAGCAAGGACTTGCAACACACCTGTCGGTCCACTCGAACATTCGCACACAGATTCTGATCTTACAGGCCGCAGGTGAGACAAGAGATAACGTTAAGGCATTAGTTAGTGTTATCATGTTACAAATGACCTGCAGATACACCCCATATGGACGAATTGCTGGTTGTATTATATGCTGTCTAGGGGTCATATTTATCGTGTTTTTAGTGCAGAGGCAAGTTCAGTTGCTTTAGGGAACCACCTGGATGCTGGTGTAATTTTTCTTGCAGGAAACTCATATAATATTACATGATAAATCAAGGGCCTTGATCTACGCAGTAACAGATGCTTGTCACAGTGCATCTATAGTCTTAAGAGTGAGGTGAGTGAGTATGGTTTTATGCCGCTTTTAGCAATATTCCAGCAATATCAATGCGGGGGACACCAGAAATGGGCTTCACACATTGTACCCATGTCGGGAATCGAACCCGGGTTTTCGGCGTGACGAGCCAACCGCCCCTAAAGTCTTATGAGTGGTGGGATTCCCAACATAGGTACAATGTGTGAAGCCCATTTCTGGTGTCCCCCGCCGTGATATTGCTGGAATATTGCTAAAAGCGGCATTAAACAATACTCACTCACTCACTTCCCAGCAAACAATTCTACGTTGCTACAACGTTGTGATGTAACGTTGTCACAACGTAAATCTGTAGACTCCCAAATTGGTTGCTACAACGTTGTGCGTAAACCAAAATACAACCAAATCAAGACGTTGTCACAACATCCATTTTTTACGTTGCTACAACGTTTATCCAAAACGTTGCGACAACGTAGGTATCGCATACATATGGCGACACTACAGCCATTGCAGCACGTTGTTGCAATGTCCATGTAGATTAACGCCTGTCTTATTCCTCAATACCTCCCAGGCAGCCTGAAAAGTTTGTACCAATCTAGTTAAGACATCAGGTACCAATCTAGTTAAGACATCAGGTACAAAGCAATACATTCTGCAAACTGAATTCACTTTAACCCTATCCGTGAAACAGCAAGTCAATGAAATGCACTCTCTTTTGGCAGAGTTTGAAATACGGCCAAGATAAAAATCTAAATGTTTTAAATTACATGTACAATTTGGTTATATAATATTTATTTTTCCAAACAGTTTTCAAGGCTATGTGCAAATTGTTCACAAATGTTTCAACACAATTAAAAGATATTTGATTTTCCCACGTATTTGCAAATTAAAAACCATCAAACAATAAGCCCTGCACAAATTGAAACATTTATAAATTTTCTTAGCCTTACCCCATACATTCAGCATTGAAAGCAACACTGTGACAAACAGAATAGTCTATGCATCTGATGTCCTAAGATCCATTTCCCAGCAACGAAATGACAATAGAATTCTGGTTGAGGTGACTTTTATTTATTTATTAAATGACAAGTCAGAACTTGGGCTGAGTGGCTGAGGAGCCTTTTCAGTCCTCAAATGAAAAGTCACAGGGATGATCTTCAACTGTATCCATAGTCTCTCCTTAAGCCTTGGTAACTGAATAAAAAATGACACAAATGTTATAAAACGGCAAGGCAAGGGACATATTTCTGACATAACAAAATAATGGTTGCATTCCCCAAAATAATATTTTGATGTCTGATGTCAGTCTTTAAACAGTTAAAAACTGCTGAAAGTGCGAAGGCGCTGACAGTAATACCATGATACTCTTGGATCATACATAGGCAGAAAAGCTTTTAGCACTGAATCATTGGTGTAACTTTATACCCCCGACCTTATAGATTGTGGGTATAATTAAATAAGAATCATCTAAATTTTAATTCTTGAAGATGTTTGTATATATTATTGCATCATACATACCTTTCTGTCGGTGATGTACTTTAAACAAATATGCTCCCACAATACTGTTTTCTCCACCTGAAAGAAAAACAGAAACCACAAAGTATCACATTTTTTAAATAAACCAGTACTGTATAGATAAATCACATTTACTTAGAGTATGATGTAACTGGTGGTAGTATTGGCAAATAGTTTTATCAGTCAATAGATCAACTGTAGTTATTCAAAAGCAGTAACTTTACCTTTCTGCTGTACATCACAAACTAGTGATTTAAGTGAATATGTTGGCCAAGTTTCTAAAACCTTATTTGAAAATTATATACATAAATTAAAAATATTTATTGCCAAATAAAATAAATAGTTCCCATATTTGAAGCATGAATGTTGAATATGAATTATGAATAGAAGTGTTAACACCTTGGGGTATTTATCCTTATTAAAATTGTGATTATTTGTTTTAATACTAACATTAATATGCCAGGATATTTATATAGAATCTATGTTCTAATATTTACAAAGATAGAAACATGGGAAAATTAACAAAATGCAATAGCTTATACAATACCAGACGAAGTTGAAACAGCTCTGTAAATAATTATTGAAATTTATTTGTTACTACATTTATTAACACAATACAGTTCAATATCGTTAAATATAATTCTGTAGACCTAGTATGGTAGCCTGCGTGGCAACATATGGAGATCGAAAACCGAACGAATAGGGTTGCTATCAATTCCATTGTATTTTTCATTGGTGCACATTGGCTACACCTATCTCACCTTAATAATCAACAAACGATGACCAACTCACTGACAATATATGGTGATATTTAACTTTTGACTATCGACTAGCTTATCATCACCAATATGACAATACCGCAAACACCCCGTTATAGCGCGCGACGAGAGACTCGTTTTACTTTGCTCGTTTTCATTAGAAGGGAGTCGGACATAGATCTAGTTATCGGAAAATGATGAATTGATTCTTTTTGGGAAATAATAAAAATACACCATGATAAGAGCCTTGCTAAAATAAAATGTATTGACAGCACCAACAACCTGATGGTCCACATTTAGGTTACTTCAGTCAGTGCTAATTAGGCCTTTTCGGAAACAGCAAGTATGTTTCTATCTCTTCCCGAAAATACAATTTTTTATAACATCATTGAGCGCATGAAGACTAAGGCTATAACTAGTAGCCTACAGAGAGTCGATCTGAAAATACATCCATTGTTTTGATTCCCTCTCTTCGCTGTATAAGAGAAATCTACTAAACCTTTCCCATGGCCTGAATGAGCCACATTGTTTCACAAAAATCAAAGTCCGAAGATTAGTACAAGTAAACTTTGAATGGTAATGATTTCCGAAATAACACGGAAGAAATGGCGATAACTGTCAGTGGACCAGACCTGTAGACACGTTTACGATCGAAACCTGAACATAATATGACGGCCACAAAACGCCGCCAGACTGAATTCTGGTCAAACATATACTGCTTGCCCTTGGTAATTACCCTTGGTATCCATAAAATAATAATATGGAAAAAAGTCTTGGGCCTCCTTCACCTCTATATACATTATGTTCTGTGTATCAAATATTAATATCAACACTGAGGCTCAGTGAAAGTGACCGGCAAACTGCATTCTAAACCCTGCCACTGCTGAATAATACAATACATTTAAATCATTTGACGATCTGCATGTACAGAAATATATCAACAAGCGGAGGCTGCTTCTGAAAAATTAACTTACCTCATCCAAATTCACAGATCATCTGTCCAGTTCCAGTTGCTGCACAATCTCTTGGTTGTAGACTTCAAATATGTCTAGAGTGAGCTTGAACTAAGATGGCTGGTGACAACAAATCTTCCGCGACAATGTGACGTCATTCTGACGTCACTTCACGAGGCAACAGGCTAAACTTTTCAGCAGTCGCTCTCACGTCGCCAAAAAAGGGCGCAATTGTTTTTAACTGTAATATTGCTTGTGACAACATTTAGTAGACAGATAACATTGTTATAGATATATATGTTTTAAAAAAATAAAACTAAGAGATGGTAGATCTACAAGTGGTTTCCTAAACATCATTTGCAAAAAGTGTTGTAATGTCCAAAGCACAACGTTATCACAACGTTAATTTGCAACGTTGTTGTTACGTTGTGGAATAACGTTGTCATAGAGATACGCAATTACGTTCTGGAAATTTTAGTATTAAGAGATGAAAATTTAAATGCCGAATATATAGAAAGGTAATGCATTACTGCCTTGGTATTCTGACAAATTCATGTTGATTTTGATAAAGCAGTTCTATTCCTTTATGACTATCGAGAAGCAAACTCTATAACGTTTCACCGACGTTTCAGAAACGTAGCTACAAAACGTTGTGTGATGTCCAATGCACAATGTTTTCACTTCATGAATGTGCAACGTAGTTATAACGTTGTGAAATAACGTTGCACGTTGACGTTATAACAACGTTGTGACAACGTAATATCACGACGTTACCAATCCACATCCTTTCCACAACGTTGTGACAACGTCGTGTGTTAGCTGGGTTATGAGTAGTGGGGATAGCCAAGGTGTAAGGAGTTGACTTGTAAGTCTTGTCCGGATTCTACACCCCAATGGGTACAATGTGTGAAGCAATATTGATATAAGTGGCTGTAGACCCTAGGGAGTCATAATAATAATTGTTTTGTTTCCCCAAATAAAATAAAACTGAAAAAAACCCTTAAAAATTTGAAATTAGATCTTCCTGTGGCCGTTTTAATGACAGTTGTCTTTGGACTGAAAATAAACATCAAATATAAACTTTTAGGTATTGTCAATTTTTCAGTCTACCAGTCTAGGTAACCCATTTATTTAGGCCATCTTCATATACTGTAAATAAATCTAGATGAGCTTATCAGTGTATGTCCAACCAGGCACAAGTAATATACTGAACAGCATTGAAAACGCACCACCATGAAAATGGATGTACAATGTATTTTTATCCGGGCTTAAGTCATATGAAAATATATAAGTGAATGATTAATATACGACATTCTGGACGAAGCAAGAAGAAGAACAGCTCGTCAAAACACATTCCTAAATTTTTTTGTGAGCGAAATCGCCAAAACACAACAAATTGCGTGCACATCATGGAAAACGAGTTTTGTTTCACAGGAAGCATGCAGAATAGAGCTATAGAAGACAGACTTTTAAAAGCCACATCACTTGTTGCTGCAGACGTAAAGGGTACTGACACAAGAAATGCCAAGATTAACAGCAGAGGAACGTGAACATGCCTTGGGCATGCTTCAAGTTGGTACGTCAAGTAGAGTCGTTGCACAACGGTTTCAATGCCATCATTCAACAGTCCTCAGGTTACTGAGCAGATACCAGCAGACAAGAACCACCAGAGATCGACCATGTCCGGGTCAACGTCGTGTATCTACACCACGTCAGGATCGCCATATTGTTCCTCGGCACACTCCCGGCTACCAGGACTGCAGCAACCTTACAAAGCCGACGGAATTGATCACTGCTGACACCGTACGTCGACGTCTCCGCTCAGCAGGGCTACGTGCTCGACGTCCATATGTTGGACCCATACTCACTGATCGACATCGAAATGAACGTCTGCGTTGGGCCAAAAGGCATCGTCATTGGAGAATGCGGCAGTGGCATGGTGCGCTGTTCTCTGATGAGTCCCGTTTTCATTTACGGAATGCTGACGGTCAACTGCGAGTGTGGCGTCGATGTGGAGAACGTTACCACAATGACTGCGTTGTACAGACAGATCGATGGGGGGGAGGGAGTGTCATGGTGTGGGGCGGCATCAGTCATAACCATCGAACAGAGCTCCATGTTTGTCATGGAAGAGTTAATGCCCTTTACTACAGGAATAACATATTGGCAAATCACGTCATCCCATTCTTTCATCAGCACCAGGATATGCACACCTTCCAGCAAGATAATGCAAGAGCGCACACAGCACGTGTTTCAACACAGTACCTAGCGAACAATAATGTGCCTCTGCTTCCATGGCCAGCCCTGTCACCCGATCTATCACCAATTGAACATCTATGGGATTACCTGGGTCAACGCCTCTCACGTCGTCCATAAGTACAGAACCTGAGAGAACTTGAAGATACACTACGTTTAGAGTGGAATGCCCCAGAACACTATTCGCAGACTTATTCAATCAATGAGAAGACGTTGCATGGCCTGTGTTGCTGTCAATGGCGGACATACCAGATATTGACTTTTCATTTTAACCCTATGTGTCTTCCTTACACTGATGACGTAATTGTAATTACTGTGTGGTATTCCTGTTTCCTTTGTCGTCTTTCTTAATAATCCGTCTATGTCTGTTCTAATCAAAATCAGTCATTGCTCAAGTTGTTTTTGTAATATTTCAAGATTTATTGCTGGTGCATTTTCAATGCTGTTCAGTATATATAACTTTTTCAAGCCTCAGGGGTAGAACAGGTCTTCAGCAACCCATGCCTGCAGTAAAAGGCGACTATGCTGGTCATAAGAGGCGACTATTGGGATCTGGTGGTCAGGTACGCTGACTTGGTTGATGCATGTCATCGATCCCAATTGGGTCGATGCCCATGATGTCAATCACTGGATTATCTGGTCCAGACTCAATTATTTACAGACCACTGTCATATAGCTGAAATATTGCTGAGTGTGGCGTTTAGCAACAAACAAACAATCAAGCATAATTCACAAGTGTTATATGAAATATTCATTACAGTCTGTGACTTGAGCCACTAGTCCGAAGCCAGAGTCTAATAAAACTTATATTGGCTGTAGGGGGTGGTGGGGTAGCCTTGTGGTTAAAGTGTTTGTTCGTCACGCCGAAGGCCCAGGTTCTATTCTCAATATGGGTACATTGTGTGAAGCCCATTGCTGGTAATATTGCTGGAATATTACTGAAAGTGGCATAAAACTGCTTGCTCACTCACTCACTCACTCACTCACTCACTCACTCACTCACTCACTCACTCACTCACTCATTTGATCTCACTCATTTGATCTAGTAAGCTTTGTACATTAACTTAAAAATCTACTGAAAATGAATTCAAGTTACATGTTCGGGCAAGTAGAGTGAAAATGTTTTTGCTCAGACTGTCATTACATCTGTTAGATTTTACTCTCTCATTAGCAATGACTCTTGTTGAGACTTCTTCTGTTTGTGTCCCGCAAACCAATTTAGCGTTTTGTTTCATGGAAGGTGATAATAATTATTATCAGGCCATATCTTTGCAAAACTTTGTGGATATTACCGTATTCGACGTAATAAGCGCCCATGGCGATATTTGCTAGTGATATATTGGCTAGTGAACAATCCCAATTAGCACCCTTCCAATTGATCAATGTACACAAGACTTATTTATTCGTGTATAATACGCACTCGTGTGTTATATGCACCCTTAATTACGGGCAATCAAATTCTAGAAAAATACGTCTGTCGTTTACAATACACACAGACTTTTCTTTTGTATCATTTCAGGCTGTCTGCATATAAACCACAAAATTTATGATCTTTCAACTCTTTCACCAAAATTTTATTCTAATAAGAGCCCCCTATTTCTAATTTTGTGACCGCCCAGGGCGCTTATTACGTCGAATACAGTACCTTTCAAAAGTCATTTCAGAATAAAACATGAATTGATATACATGGATAAGAATAATTTATCGCCAGGTTTAAGATTGCAATACATCCGTAATCATACAGCCGTAATGGATGTTAAGTGTTCATCTAGAAGAATAATTTTTATCAATTCCACCAAGGCTAGGTAATAAGCACTTGTCATTTTGAAAGTTTGTCCCCTTCCTTTTCTTTGAATATGCTCACATCCTTTTTTATTTCTGAATACCCAAATATATTTCTTGATTCATACTGAGCATTAAACATGGTCATCATTTTCCATGTGTTTATCACGTTTATTCGTGGTTTAATATGTTATTATTGTCAGTACTGTCACGAGGTATTGTGAACATACCGTATTCGACGTAATAAGCGCCCCGCTCTAATAAGCGCCCACGGGAATATTTGCTAATATATTGGCTAGTGAACAATCCCAATTAGCACCCTTTCCAATTGATCAATGTATACAAGACTTATTTATTCGCGTATAATACACACTCGTGTGTGATATGCACCCTCAATTATTGGGAATTTAATTCTGGAAAAATATATTTGTCGTACATAAACATTTCAGGCTGTCAGCATAAACCACGAAATTTTGAGAGCGCCCTGGGCGCTTATTACGTCGAATACGGTAATAAGATTTCTAAGTGAGCCATTTCAGGCAGCGAAACATAGCTAACCATGCCATTATGAGTTTAACCATGCTGTTGGCACTGTAATACAAGGAACACCGAGCCCTCAAGTGACTTGGTCTATCATCATGAGTGGGACTATTGTCATAGCGACTGATTTACGACACCCATTGTCTGAAGAACATTTAATTGCAAAGGCTCATTACCCTGGAGCCATGACATCTATATGCCTTGAAACATTTAATTGCTGTTATTTATAAGATGCTAATCCTAATTGTTAATCCCCATTTTTGTGTACATCGACCGTCTGCCATCCTGAACGAGATGTGCAAGTATGTCACTGATGAATTACTGTTTACATTTATATTTATTACTTACTAAATGTCAGGTGACCTTGGCTATATAAGCCTTGGTCCAGAGAGGAGAGAAAGAAAGGTATTACCCTTAGCCTAGCTAGGGTTAGGCTGGGTGCTCCGGGGCACCGAGACAACAACCACTACCACTATGTGCTGACCTGGCACATAGTGTCTTTTGTATGTATATATCTACATGTATAAAGTAAAACTGTATATACTGTAAGCCATCGTCTCCAAGTTGTCACTTCCTACTGAGAACCATACGTCGGCCTCTTGCATATATGAGTATGCAAATTGTTCATTAATCAACATCAGACCGACACGCGTTGTTACTATGATGGCTCAAGTTACTGTGATGGATGATAATGCTGTCCATATGTTGATAGATTGAACAACTCAGTTTTCGGTACACATTGACTTGGGACGCCTTGTTAGCATAGCAAGCTCCTCACAGCGATAGCCCGTTCGCGGAGCTCTCCATACACCAGTCAAAACTCCCCACTGATAGGTGGCTCCAACCAAGCTTGGAGTTGAACTCGCAACCGAATGACCGTTATGTTTACAAACAAGTGACGACTGTCGTGACACCGAATACACTTACCGCAGCTAAATTACTATCTTTGTTTGTCAATTTGAATTTCTATTTCATTAAAACTATCATCTTTAATTGATATAGTAAGAATGTAAGGGAGAAGTTGGTTGATTTTCCGTTAGTCTGCAATCTCGAACCAATCTGATTATTAAAATAACAAAGTAAATTCATCTGGAAAACATAGTCAGTCGTAAACCTTTACGAAATGAAATATGATGGCATTCTCAAAAACATAAACAAAAGTATAAACGTTACTACATTTGGGGTTAGAGGGCAAATTTCAAGATTCTTGTAATGGCCGCGCCCACACTGGTGGCAGCGATGTTACCGAGAGTGTAACGAAGGTGTCACGCGCTGGGAAGGAGCTTGGTTAGCATAGAATCCAGGGGCAATCACTCTAGCTGGCTTATAAGATATAGCACTTGTCACAAGCAGAGATATAGAACAAGTATGAACCTTAAACGAACAAGAGTGTTTGTTAACATTGCACAATACAGTTACCAAAGATCCAGTTAAACAAATTCTAATGAATGCCCAGGTCCCACAATGTGGAAGTATTGATAATACTAAGAAAACTTTATGAAATTGTTTGACTGATCTGCTTATGTTTGGTTCTGGTGATTTCAGATTCCAGCAAGTGTTAGGATTGTGTCTTGCATGATGTCAGGGGCACTCTCACCACGGGAGTCAGGGAGGTTTATAGCCGAGACGAGCAAAGATGTGACAGTCAATCCTGATGGTGTCAAGAAATGTGCTAAATATGTGAGTGTTTCAACTTTTAATGATTGGGTATTATTCAGTGTGACTGCTGGCTTTTGAAACTGCAAAAATTACCTGACCCCCCCCCAAATTTTGTGAGTCCCAACTTTCAACAAATATAAAACGTATGAAAATTACCTGGTTTTAATTGTTTCAACATCATGTTCAATCAGGTCTTTGAAAGGCATTTAGAAGTGATTCACATAAGAAAGAGAATATACATGATATATGGATGTCAACTTCTTTATTATTACAACATTTCAGAGTTTTTTCATTCACCTGATGAAGGAGTAAGCATATACTCCGAAACGTTGTGTTCCTCATAATAAAGAAGTTGACATCCATATATTCTCTTCCTTATATATATCATGTTCAATGCAATGAAGTAATTATGTTAGATCTGCAAGTCATTCACACAAAGTTCAGTCACAATTTTCTCTCTTTTTTTAAATATTTCTAGACTAAGTCGCTTCAAATATATATTTAACCTCTAAGGTAAATGTTATTTCTTTGCACTGAAAAACCCTGATGGTAACAGACAAGCTGACTTCATTCGAAAAATATACTTATATGAATATCACCTATGTTTTTGTCAAAGATTTATAAGGTACAGTAGAACACGGATATAACGAACACGGATACAACGAACTGTTAAAAAATCCCCGATTTATCTCCTATATAATATCATATAAAATTTATGTATATAACCAACTCTCTACAGCGAACTAACGGATACAGCGAACTGATATCTGATCACCGACAAGCCCATTTATCACTTATTGGCGACGTGTATAGCGAACTGAGAAATCTCACTCAGTGTCAAGTGTCACTGACAATTGGCTGTATGCAATCCGCGGCGAATCAAAACAATGGCGGCGAATCAATACAATCAGCGGTGACGGATCAACCTTGTTAAATTTGCTTGTGTTAATCTTACCTGTGTTAATCTTATTTAATGATATTAAACGAATATTGTAAATTGATATCAATTGAATGATCACTGCTAATATAATTAATGCTGCAGTTACGTGTGTATCATGTTTTGTCTCATCCAAGATGGCGGACATTTCCGAGCGAAAACGTGTATAACGAACAACGGATATAACGGACTGATTTCTCTGGTCCCTAGTAGTTCGTTATATCCGTGTTGTACTGTATTTTATTTGCCGGTCCACAGGGACTGGCAGTCACATGAATTACCGGTCCAAGCCTAATTTTCCGAGTAAAAAACTGGTAATTACCGGTAAATGGGAACACTGATTATTTGCATCAGTACTAAGAGTCCAGTTATTGTTTGAACACAAATCCTTTTCATACTCTGCAGCAGTACTTTGGAACAAACTGCCACTGCCACTTTCTGTTTGCTTGTAAAGCTGGACTAAAGCCATACCACTTCAAAACTGTCTACAGTCAGTGAACTTTCAATTACACCACAGGACTGTATATGTGTTTTTGTGTATATGTATGTTATTAGATATTTACTTTTATCTTTCATGCTTCTTGTAGAGCTATGAGCAAACTTGGTGGATGAAATTTGGTGCTTAATAAAAGGACTTATTATCATCATTAGATGCTACAAACATAACATGCTTATGAATTTAAGTTTATGTATTATTCGTTTGTCAAAGCTCTCAAAGAAACGCAAGAACCCATTCTTGTTAACAATGACTGCCATGATCTTCATGATGACTCAGCACCAATCAGAGACAAGGAAATACTTGCTCTACTTGCCAAAGTCAGTCGGCAAGACTGTTGGACCCATAGGACCTTTCATTTTAGTTTCGCCTTTTGGCAAGAAAAAAATATTCAAAAAGGAAACAATATTCATAAATAGGAGAAATGTGTAAAAAAACTATCTTGGTAATATCATGACAAACATGCTATGATGTAGAGTAAGAGAGATGTTAGACAGTTACCCATGCCAAACCTTCAACAATGCAAATAAACTTCATGGCGGTATAATCCAAATTCCCACACTCTCCTACAAAGACTTTTTTGTTGATGGATGCTTACATTTATGACTTCTTTGTTTGCTGTTTCTCGCCACACTCGGCAATATTCCAGCTATATGACAGCAGCCTGGAACTAATAAGTGTGGTCCAGGTAATTAAGTGATTGACATCATGAGCAATGATCTGTGTAATTGAGATACAGAACATAGCCTGACAGGTGAGCTATAGTACCGGTAATGTGAAAGAATACTGTGGTCCTTAACCTCTTGTCATCTTCCCGAGGCAAGTGAGTTAACTGACTATGAAAGTCCAGTTTCCACCCTTGCCGAACTAGGCTCGTATTATGGAGTTACATTTTGGCTGGACTAACGAGTTTATGCATAGTCCAATCCAAATCGCGCACCGAAATCGAAATCCGGTTCGTAAAGTGTCATGCAGATTTCGGTTGACTGCAGGATTGGCAAAGCATGTGCACCGCTAACTCGTTGTCAACAGATATTTTCTAAATCTTTTCATGTTTTTAATCAAGGTGCTCACGTGATTTGATGCACTTCGCGATGTAAGACTCGTTTTATCACAATATAGATCTTGATTATCGATCAGATCGTCTTGAGTGGGCGCCACCGTTTTGTTTGAAGCTAATGCATGTGATACGAGAGGTTGAATCTGATTGGTCAATAGGAGAGGCATAGAAAGGACATGACTCGTAATAGCCACTGGTGGGGCTACGATCGAACCCAGCAATTCCAGCCTAGTTCGGCAAGGGTGGAAACTGGACTTTTAGAGTCAGTTAACTCTCTTGCCTCGGGGAGATGCCTCTTGTGAGCACTGTATAAACATTTTTTAAAGTGGACAAATATGTGTGTCTTTGTTCAAAATTGATATTTCCTGATTGAGTAACGTCTGGGGGCCATGTCTGATGCTTGCCCATCTGCTCCAGGTGTATGAGGAGGTGAAGAAGACGGGGTATGGGGTGAGATCCTGGAGGGAGAATGAACTGCACCCTAAAACAATGGACGAGGCAGCAGTGAACTGGTATGTACATGCAGTAACCAGAAAAACACTCTTTTGTTTCCTGTTTCTGACTGTGTGATTTCAAGATTTGTGTGAACTCCCCACAAAGTGTACCCACTTTGTCATTTTGTTCAATGTTGTTTTGTCTAATTCCTCAGAAGTCCTCAGAGTTTGAAGCTAGTCCTGCTTCAACATGTTGCCTATGTTTATATATTCTGTCAGTTTTATGGGGGCACAGGTAGCCCAGTCTTCTAAGGGGCCGCGATTCGCTGTGAAGAGTTGCGTCCCCTGGACACACCAGAAACCTATGATTGTGGATTCGAATCCCGGTTCACCCCGATTATGTTTCTAGGTTTGTCAGCACCATACCCGTGCTCATGGGTTTCACCAAAGTGGTAAACGTCTGAGACCTGCATCACTTCGGGCTTTCCTCCCACATTAAGCTGACACGCCGTGATATGACTGGAATAGTGTTAAAAGTGGCCTTAAACCAAACTCACTCACTCACTGTCAGTTTTATTGATTCCAATTGTTTGAAGACAGACTGAGAAAAGGTAGAAAAACTGAGAAAGGTAGAAATTTGCATGGTTGCAGCATAATTTAGAAAGAAATACTACATGTCAGCTTGTAAATCATGGGAGATCTAATTCAGTGACAAACTTAAATTCAAAACATGTACCTTTAGGAGACATGCTAATGGCAGTGATCACAAACAAGCTATTGAGGCTAAATATGTGACATTGAATGTTGTTGCTGCATGACATTACATCTGAATAAGATGCCATGCAAAACACTCTGTGTATCGGTGACGTTACTTGTGAACCGTAATTCTGCATCAATGACCTGCACATTGGGTTGTAAGTTTTAGGTGGTCTCTCAGAGTGTGGACCCATACATTTTTTAGATGACCCCATGTATTTATGCTGAAGGGGACCCTGTCGCCACTTGATCAGTTTCTTGGCAGAAAACATCTTCCAGAGGCAAGAGAGTTAACTGACTATAAAAGTCCAGTTTCCACCCTTGCCGAACTAGGCTGGTATTATGGAGTTACATTTTGGCTGGACTTACGAGTCTATACATAGTCCAATCAAATTTGTGCAACGAAATCGAAATCCGTTTAGTAAACTTTCATGCAGATTTCGGTCGATTACATGACTTTCAAAGCAAGAGCACCGCCAACTTATGTCAACAGATATTTTCCAAATCTTTTTCTACAGGTCAACTGGTGAACTGATGGTCTGGGATTTTAATTTTTTTTATTTTTCAAGCTTTCATAGTGACGACTTTGACTTAGACTCAAAATGGCAGTAGTGCTCTTTTTCAAAGCAGATTTTGAAAACTGTACAATGTTTCTTGCCTTGCACACAACCGGACATGTCATATTGACGGGGGATATGAGTATTTCATGCTTGTTGTACTGTGTGCTGCCTCCTGCAGGGTGTTCGTGGCGGATGCCCTCAACTTCTGTTTCTGGTCACAAGACCCCAGCAAGAAGTACTACGTGGACTACAGAGGCAAGAGGCGGACCGGGTACTGGTGCCTGTGTGCAGCTCTCAACAGGGCCACTGAGGTGAGGTCCTGTCTGTGTTAGTGGAGAAAGGGGGAGACGTAGCAGGGGTTTATATAATCATTGCCTGTATACAGTTACATGTCCAGGACCCCATTCCACAAAGCAATCTTGGCGCATTGATAATAATAACTCCCATACTTTAACAAAGCAGGGATTTACCTGGACCTGCTCAGAGACCAATATTCAGCCCTAAGTCTGCAGCAAATGTATATAAAAATTCCCAATTTGGAACTAAACATTTCCCAATTCATGTTTCAATGTATTAGTATATAAAATGAATAACTAATATTATGGCTTTGTAGAAGTAACCTGTATTCACTTATAGCAAGACCAACAAATAGGAAACAGGTATTCATGCTTGTCTTTTGATATTGCATTAAATGCAATCATGGACAACCCTTGCATAGATCATTGACAGCCCTTGCATAGATCATTGACAAACCTTGCATGGATCATTGACAGCCCTTGCATAGATCATTGACAAACCTTGCATGGATCATTGACAACCCTTGCATAGATCATTGACAGCCCTTGCATAGATCATTGACAAACCTTGCATGGATCATTGACAACCCTTGCATCGATCACTGACAGCCCTTGCCTAGATCATTGACAATCATTGACAGCCCTTGCATAGATCATGGACAACCCTTGCATAGATCATGGACAACCCTTGATGAGATCATTGACAGCCCTTGCATAGATCATGGACAACCCTTGCATAGATCACGAAAGGCCCTTGCAAAGATCACAGACAGCCCTTGCATAGATCACGGACAGCTCTTCATTTTGTCTAATCCATATCCAATTACAAATGGAACCGAATCAATTATCCCCATCAAAATATACCAGGTCTGGAACATGATTTAACAAACAATGGCTCAATTTACTGCCTTGGTACCATTTGGGGGGGTGGGTGTCTGGGGGGGTGCTTATCCTCAAGGTAAGGTGATATTAATAATACCATTCATTTAGGGCTGGGATGAGTCCAAATTTACTACCCGGGTACCTGACCCCCTATTTACCGACCCTACCCGGGTACCCACTGTAGGTCTGAAGTGTATCGTACATAATGTCCAATTGAGAATTGTTTTACTGTAGCCCTGGTAAAAACTATTTAGATACACATATAAAACGATGATCGTGCATGCACTAAAGTTGACTGACAGTTTACTTTTCTTACACATATGTAAGTCAGGATGGATAGAAAGTCAGACAGAAATGTGAACATTGGCGACTTGCAGTGTAACCATGTTGTTTTGTTGTCATTAAACAATATATCACGTGACTAAGCACAGGTCCTTCTCAGGACCAACCCGACCTGAGTACTCGCGTTACCCGTCCAGGCCCCACATTCATTCATTGCACTTTCTAATACCTGGGGGGGCGGTCGGGTAGCCTAGTGGTTAAAGCGTTCGCTCATCACGCCGAAGACCCAGGTTCGATTCCCCACATGGGTACAATGTGTGAAGCCCATTTGTGGTGTCCCCCACCGTGATATTGCTGGAATATTGCTAAAAGCGGCGTAAAACCATACTCACTCACTCACTCACACAAATATCCAAGGTAATTTTAACGACGTTAATCGCCAGTAATTGTTGTTAATTAGAAGTGGCAATCAAGTGGCAATCGGTGTACCTCTTCACCTGAACTACGGTAATCCCCTCGTTCTTTGGTGCTGACTGTCTGGGATGAGCGAGAGGTACAATGTCAGTACCCGAGGGCCTTGGACCTATTACCGTAGTTCCTCCAACAAGCACAAAGAGTGATCTTCGTTTAACAGCTTTTATTCCAACTTTGTGTTGCCGGTCAACCCACTCTAATTGTCACTTAATTATGAGACTTCGGCCGCAAAGCTTCAGTCTCAGTCGAAATGCTGGTGCCTAGGTTTGGTTTCTGGTTCGAAAGATCATGACAACAAGCCGAGAGCGGAGCACCAGTCCAGATGTAGTCTCCCCAGCCGCAGCCGCTACCTAGCCGCTCTCTAGCCGTTCTCTATTCGTTCTTAGCCGTTCTCTCGATTTGGGGCTTTTGCCCCTTTTTAAACCGGTACCTACGTCACAGCTCTACTCATTTTTCCATCTATCATTGGTCAGCCACCTTTCCCCCCTACACTAGATCATTCTAACCCACTCTTATCTAATAACCAGCACCTTATTCGGACTTGCCATGATGTAGCTTCTCACCCTTTTGGAATTCGAACTATTCCCCCCCAATACCATATATGTCTCAAGACCCTGACGTTTCCGTCCCTCTCATCTCTGTTCCACTTGTTTTTCATTTATGTATAGCCCTCGACCTACTACCCTCACCCCTGGTTACTCGTGGCCAAGTATGCTCCCGTAGTCTTCAACTATCAGAGCTGCCCGTCTCCTATATATATATCAATGTGTTATGTTTACATCTTACTGGTTTCAACTCCTCTTCTTGACCTTTATATACAATCACGGAGATGTCCTAATGAATTGTTAATTACTTTAATTAGTTGTTAATTACTGTACTTTTATGCCTATAATACGACCCCCGTTCTGGCGAAGAGTGTGTCCCCACACTCTGAGATGGTGCCAATTCTTGTTATATTATCTGGTATATATTCCCTCTTATTTCTATGACCTATTGATTTAACTACCCTTTTATTATCTAAATATGTATTACGCTTTCATGCCTATAATACAAATACCTGGGCCTACAAACTGAATTCTGGGGATTGGTCCCGACATTTAATTATTGTAAAGACCATATTGAGGATGATCACAATGTTTAATCGGGCTGATAACATGTCATCATGCCCGAATGTATTGGTATGTTGTTATATCCTATTTGTGTACCCGTAACCCATTGTATGCATGTATGCCAATGTATGTATCGGTATGCTGTATCACCCAGGAGGGTATCCACATCACTGACCCCAACTTTTATGCCAGCATCACACAGGATCAGCTAGCATCTGTGTTCCGGTCTGAGTCGGAGATGGACATTCCGCTTTTTCAGGAGAGACTGGACGTCTTGCACCAAGTGGGTCAAGTCCTCATACAGGTAACTCTCTCAATACACTTGGGCTACACTGTCTTCACCTTTCAGTAAACGTCTTGGGGCAAGGATGGCCCAGTCGTCTTAAGGTGCAGCAATTCGTCAGACCTGCATCACTTCTGGCTTTCCACCCACAATAAGCTCACAGGTGGTGATGTAACTGGAAACTGGGATACTGCTCAAAGCAGTGTTAAACCCAACCCCACTCACACACTCCGTAAATGACCTCTCTTCTCTTTGTTGTTTAACACCGCACTCAGCAATATTCCAGCTTTATGATGGCGGTCAGTAAGTAATCAAGTTTGGACTAGACAACCCATGCAATTGGGATACGATGACATACATCACCCAAGTCAGCGAGCCTGACCACCCGATCCCGTTAGATGCCTCTTACGACAAGCATAGCCGCCTTTTACAGCAAGCATGGGTTGCTGAAGACCTATTCCACCCCAGATCTTTACGGGACCAGTAAACAACCAACATCACTATTTATCATAAAGCAGAAGGTCCAGAGCATCCCAATGTGGTCGGAAGAAGTGACTAAAGAAAAACAGGTGGTCAGACACGGCAACTTTGCTTGTCATGGTTTCAGGAACTGTGTTGACAGGTCAAGCGACAATATAACTGGAACATTTCTGACTGTTTATGACCACATTAACTGACTCATAACAAAGGGATTAAAGCCTTGTTAGCTAGATCTAGTAAGGGACAGCAGTAATCACAGGCCCCTCAGCCAAAGTTTCCTTTATTTGAAAAATGTACATTGTAAGTCACACAATGACAATTCTGACACTAAATTATACATGTAGGCTGCCTTTGCACTGGTTTCTTGTTGCTTGTTATCTGAAACCAATTATTGTTTCCCTTGTTAATACTGTAGCAGCTTCAACGACTTGAAATGTCGTCTCCAGCTTTGTAGTAAATCAGTTACAAGAAGTGGAGGAGGCACAAATATTTCTGTGACTGTGCGGATGTGGTAAGATGTGACTTTTTCCCATGCCAGAAGTACGAGGGCAGCTTCAGCAACTGTGTCAAGAAGTGCAATGGCAGTGCCAAGGATCTTCTCAACCTGATTGTTACAGAGTTCCCTCCCTTTAGAGATGAGGCCGATTATAATGGGAAAAGAGGTAAATAATTACATTGTGATTCATAGAGCAGGGTTGTTGACCTAATAACAGTGAACTCCTCATAACACATGGCCTGGCACCCAAGTCCAACAGTCAGCACTACAACATTAAACATTAAAAACACAAAACATAATATTGTACTCTTGTGCTATGGCCCAGATGAAGATTTCGTAAAAGGGAAGTTAGGATGGAAAACTTCTTATTTGAATAATGAATGTTGATGTGACCTTAAAACATGACACAGTTGGAGTCATCTTCCCGAGGCAAGTGAGTTAACTGACAATAAAAGTCCAGTTTCCACCCTTGCCAAACTAGGCTGGTATTATGGAGTTACATTTTGGCTGGTCTAACAAGTCTATGCATAGTCCAATCCAAATCGTGCAGCAAAATCGAAATCCGGTTTGTAAACCATCCTGCAGATTTCGGACGATTGCAGGATTTGCAAAACATGTGCACCGCCAACTCGTTGTCAACAGATATTTTCCAAATCTTTTTATGTTTTTAATCAAGGTGCTCGTGTGATTTGATGCACTTTCCGGTGTAAGACCCGTTTTATCACAACATTGATCTTGATTATCGTTCAATTCATCTTGACTGGGCACCACCATTTTGTTTGAAGCAAATGCAAGTAAAACAAGAGGTGGAATCTGATTGGTCCATAGGAGATGCATAGAAGGAACATAACTCGTAATAGCCACTGGTGGAGCTACATTCGAGCCTCGAAATTCCAGCTTAGTTCGGCAAGGGTGGAAACTGGACTTTTATAGTCAGTTAACTCTCTCGCTTCAGGAAGATGAGTTGGAGTGGGGACAACATTTTCTGAGATTGCTGTCACTCCTGTTATCATATAGAGAGTAAGTGTGGGGTGTTTGAAAAAGTGAAAAAGCATACAGTTTCATTATTTTTATCAGGACTTCAGATTTCTGAGGCATGTTTAAAAATGCAACATTGAGTGAAGTTATTATGGTTAAAACAGGTCAGCGTGGAATGGACTAGATAGGGTTCCAAGATGGGTCTTTTTGGTATGAAAAGACCTAGCCTCAATACCATGAGTATATTCCTATAGTATACAATTCAACGACCCTTTCTCTCCTACTGAGAGCCAGTTAGGTAACCTTGTGCATTCTCGTCACAAAGAGACCAGAGTTTGATTCCCCCAATGGGTATCAAGTAAAACCGATTTCTGGTGTCTATTGCTGGTAAGGAGCCGGCATATTGCTATAAGTTGTGTAAAACCTACTCACCCTCAATCACATGACTTTCAAGTCTAGGTGAAAGCTAGGGGTAGTCTAGCGGTTAAAGTGTTCGCTCATCACACTGAAGGCCTGGGTTCCATTCCCCTCACAGGAACAATGTGTGAAACCCATTTCTTGTGTCCCCATTTATTGCTGGAATATTACTAACAGCAGCATAAAACCACTCACTCACTCACTCACTCACTCACTCACTCACTCACTCACTCACTCACTCACTCACTCACTCACTCACTCACTCACTCACTCACTCACTCACTCACTCACTCACTCACTCACTCACTTGCATCGCATTGTTTTTAAGTATTAGGATGTTTTTATTGTGGCAGACTTTATGATGATGCATTCAGTGCCTGAGAACCAAGACTATTATTCTTTTTAGCCTCAGAGTAGACTTATTCATGAAAAGAATAAATGGATTGCTCTTACCTAATAATGCAGTGGAATGCTGCTGCAACAGGAAACAGCTACATGTATTTGCTTTGTTGATTATTTCAGTGTCTCTCCATAAGCGAGCGCAGATCCTCATCGCTGATGTGTGGGGATGCTGTGAGGGCCAGGGTCTGGGGACGTTCCACGACATCGACATCATCACCATGTTTGCAGATTACAGGTATGCTAACTCCACTGTTGTCAGATTGACTGTCTCTCATGGCTGAAATTCACCTTACCATGAGCAATTTAAGATTTGAAAATGGATTGATTAATTAAAATATTTTATGAAGATGCTCAAAATTGGGACTTAAAGGGGCACTGATCTAACGCAAATACCCGGGCTGGTTGTTGCCTTTGTTATTGTTTTTTCCCCCGTGAGTACCCGGATGATACGCAACGCAACTGAGCGTGACCAGAGACTGGGCTACCGTCTGCAAGGACAGCTAAATAAACTTGGAGGCTGGAGGCAATATTTGTTTTACGCATTTTTGCATAAACACTGATTGGTTAACTGTGATCTATAAAGATTTCGACAAAGGGCGCATGTTAATTAATTTCTTCAGCCTAAACAAACAGACAAAAAAAACAGCGGAGCTCATCGGATGTCGTCATTTGGAAATACCCCAGATGGTTATAGTTTAATACTAAAAAAAGTATCCATGCAAGGAAAGCATTTTCGGATTTCGGCTTGCGTTGATAATACGATTACTACTCCCTTGTTGTCATCCACGTTTTCTCGTATAACCCCTACACTTGTGTATTTGTCGTCATTCACTTGGTGCTCAGTTAATGAATTTATTACAGGTACAATTAGTGGTAGCGCCACTTAGATTACCTGACAAAAGTTCCCATTTGGCATTTATTGTGTCTGGGGTAATTATTCAATCTAAATCCAGGTTTGAAGTGAGTTGAAATGTGTGTTATGTAATATGCACGTGGCAGCCCAGCAAGAGATGAATGATCAGTTGATTTACTTTTTTTTGTAAATCAACGGATCGTTCCTAGTCATCAAAGGATTAACAGAAAATACGTTGATTGATTAATCACTGTTATCTTGCACAGTGGATATGTCAAGAGTGAGTGTTTACATGTCTAGGTTTACTAAAACAAAGGGAATACACTTATATCATGGCGTGAAGTGCCGATATAAAAACAGCATACTTTGTTCAAAGGGTTAACTGATAATACGTTGATTGATTGATCATTGTTATCTATCACTCAATGGATTTTTTAGGAACCGTGGTCGTTAGTTGTCACATGCGCTTTCTCAGCCGTCCATTGAGACTTGACACCTATGTAAAACACCTGAAACAATTAAAGTGATCAGTTGAGAAACGAACACGGGTTATAATATCCCGAAACGATATATATCTTTTAAAATATCATTTTTGATTGTTACTGAGACACGTGATATCGAATAAGTTTCTTTGTACAGCTACAGACAAGTGGGATATTGTTGCTTTGTGTGGATCCGGATATTCACGGATACATTCCTCGAACAAGGAAGCTACCTAAAATTTATACACATAAATTTGGTAGGTTGTAATTATGAAATTTGCATTTTGTTTTCCTTCATTTGAACGGATTCGTTCTTGTTTCTCTACGTCTTGGTTAAGACATTCTTCAATGCGCGATAGACGTTGTTTTCACAGGTCTTTTCCTTTGTAAGCGTGTATATATTACCGTCAATTTGTAAAATGTGATTCTCTCAGGCAATTTATAAAATGTGTAAATATTTCAGTCATTTTGACTAAAAAATCTGCCCAGGTTGATTAAGACGATCAAAAGGGCCTACAAACATCACAACAGATTATTATGTAGGATTAGAAGCCAAACAACATAGAAATGTACTTTCCAACGTAACATTTTTCAGTCTCTTGGTGATGACATTACACATCAAAATGTTTGGAATTCGTTGTCATAATAATACAGATGGAAATGTTTTTCGGTCACTTTGTAAAATAACTGAATATTTAGACGTTTAATAAAATTGTTACACATTTGACAGTAAAAAAAATATACACACTATAAAAAAAGCAATGCTCAGTTGAAATATTTACTTTGTGTTGCAAGTCAAAATAGTGTAAACGAAAATCGCAAACTACCAAGCAAGTGACTTATCAAAACTTCGTCACCATTACCGATGCTACCCACAAAGATACCTACATTTCCTTATTATCTCGAAAACTGTATTTCATTTTGTTGATCAATGTGACCATACGCCCTTATTACTACCGATAAAAGTGACTAATGCGCTTACGAATGGCGCAGCAGAGGTCGCGAACTAGTCTAGATTTCTGCTATACATCCGGGTACTCACTGGGAAAAAACATTAACAAAGGCAACAACCAGTCCCGGGGAATTGCGTTTGATCAGTGCCCCTTTAACACAAAATTTATTGATGTTATATCTACCTGAAAAAAAGTTCTTGTTTTGATTCATACTCTAAATGGAAACATTTACACAAAGGATTTTTGACAACATATGTCAAACTGTAAATCATAAAATTGATGCATCATGTGAGTGCCGACACTCAAAATGAAATTAATGAGAGCAGCCCAACCTTTCAAATTTATAAAATAATAATCAGCAAACAACACTTTGAGAGTTGATGTTGAGTTCCGATTCCATTATATGGTATGAGATGAAAGCAGTTTGACTGAAATATACTGTTTCCTTTCTTCTCAAACTTTACTTTTTTTTACTCATTTGACATGTGATTTAACTGTCATTTAATTCCAAAAAAGGCATATGCAAATAAGGTACCATAAGTCGGCATCTATAAAGCGACCCCGCGTACAAGGCAAACCCCTGTACAAGCCTTTAAAATCGACGTTGATTTATATACCCCGTATATAAAGCGAATCAGAATTAAGCACATCACCAGCACATACACAATCCTTACATTTGCAAAAAAACAAGTTCATCTTCCGCAGAAAAAGTTACATCGTATCCCTTCAGCGAACTCAGGGAACGTACAGATCATGACATTTAAACTTTGTCCATACAAATTTGAAATTATAGATAAAACATCATTAGACATGATGATTTACTGATTAATTTGTATTGCCTGTTCTGCTAGGCATGGTTTCATATGCAGAGATTAAGATTACCGTGTGTATTGTCTCGTAGACTATGCCGGAAGCAGCAATCAGCTGTGCACAGTAGATCAGTCAATGGATGAATGTTTTGAAAGTTGTTACATTTGACAAGGAGGCCAACAAACAAGAGGCTGCTAGCTGCAGTGATGACTGTCATAAATGCTTGATAAATTTGTGTACACTAACTGACCATTGACACTTGACACAATAAGAAACAAAAATCTGTCATTCAGTTACCAGTGCATTGGTTTTTTGGAACTTATTGTTTCCAGCATGTGCACTGAACAATAAACTACAATATGTCCAGATAATAATGCATGACTTTATTATGCAAGCAAGGAACAGATGCATCTTTTGTGTTAGTTTCAAGCTCGTGTTTAATTTCATGATTTACAGCATCTACCTGTCAAGGGAATGATTTAGTCCTGGTGATGGCAGTAGTGTTAATTTTAGGTTAGAATAGGTCTTCAGCAACCCATGCTTGTCGTAAGAGGCGACTAACGGGATCGGGTGGTCAGACTTGCTGACATGGTTGATGTATATCATCGTATCCCATTTTCATTGATTGATGCTCTTGATGTCAGTCACTGGGTTTTCTGTCCAGACTGAATTATTTACAGACCTCTGTCATATAGCTGGAATATTGCTGAGTGTAGCGTTAAACAAAAAACAAAACAAACAAACATAGACAGTGGTGATGGATTACAAAATTTCCTGGCGACATCCTACAACTGGTATCACCTCTCCATTCAGGGTGCCACAGGTGCTGGTGTACTTCGGGGCTCTCCAGTACTCACACGCTCTCCTGGAGCTGCTCCGCAAAGGTAAGTATGTCATAGCTTCGCTTGTTAAAGACTAGAATCTAGCTACATGACAAGAATTTACCTACATGACCGTCTTGTAAATATCCATACGTCCGCTGGCTGAGCTGTAGAGGCATCATGACATCAAAGTGTTTGTTATCACATCACTTGCTTGTCACGTCACAAATTATCCATGTCACACTTCGAGTTACCCTACTGCTATTCTGATGGCAGTCACAAGGTAGCGTGAATTGATAGAAACAATAAGTTCTCTGAAATAGTTCTTTTGAACTCATACTGATATATTTGTTCCATATGTAAATAGCTGGATGTGTGGGACTGTACAAGCTGAGTCTTTGTGTACTTTCCTTGCTCGTCTCGTGATGTACTAGTTCATTCATGATATCCTGTACAGCCTGCTGTCGACACCAACAACTCATATTCTAATATGCTTCGCTAAAAGATTAAGAGCACCGACTGTACTTAAATTACGACAAATTATGAGTTGATGGGCTGACGTCATGAGGCTGTTTGAACCACCTCCACCGTGATCTAACATATCCTTGGTTCATCGTTCTATTATTACTGTCAATCAAGATGGAACATCCTCATCAATTATCGATTGTTGAAATAGTTTCTTTAGATTTGTTGAATAGTTAAATATTATTCTCTGGGAAGAAATATGGCAATATGATGTCAACCATGCCACAAGGTTATCCCAAACATATTCAAATCTCTGTGAACATGCCATAGCAATTGTTGAAGGCAGGTGTTGGTGCCCAAGGAAATATGTTTATGTTGCTCAGCATAGGACATTTTGCAACATATATGATTAATAGTAATGTCCCTTTCATTGTCCTTTGACATCCCCAACACGTACTATCTGGAAGATGAGTTTTTTAAATATATTTTTTTTAAGTTTCACAGTACATATATATGTGTTTGTATTTTTTGCAGACTATATGGCATTACAAATATTCACTGACCTGCTTATAAATATGTACTTGTCAGCTCAATACAGGCTCATGCAATATGTTTGTTGATACATATTTGAGTCTCCACTGAAACTGGCTCCTTGTTCACAGTCATCTGTCATTGTTTGTTGTGCAGACACCCTGATGAAGAATGGTGATCGTCTTGAGGTGGAGATCCGAGGTTGCAGTATATGGGCTACGGAGGTATGATTTTAGTGTACATTAGAGTTGCAAGGTATTTGATGGTGTTTAGTATCAATACCTTCAGTTATTTGTTGTCCCTCAGTGCCTCAGACATTGTTTGGTATTAACACATCCAGCTCTTCATTGTTCCTCAGTGCCTCAATGATTGTTTGGTCTTAACACACCCAGTTCTGGATTGTTCCTCAGGCCACAGAGAGTGTTTGGTATTAAGACATCCAGTTCTGAATTGTTCATCAATGCCTCAGAGAGTGTTTGGTATTAATGCATCCAGTTCTTAACTGTACCCCAGTGCCTCAATGATTGTTTGGTATTATCACATCCAGTTCTTTATTGTTCCTCGGTGACTCAGAGATTGTGTTTTCAGCTGGTGTGTGAGGAAGCAAGACGATTGAAGGAAGCAGACACTGACAGCTCGGACCTACAAATCAACTCCATTCTCATTGACGAGTTTCTATGGGACTACAGACGAGCTCATGTTCAGGAAACAGATTCCATACCATATCACAAAGTCCGCTGCATTTATTACTGATAAGAAACAGAGGAAAGGTCACCTTGACTTTGTGGTGATTTGTTTGCGCTATATGTTCTATACATTGTGACATATTAGAACAAAGAAACCAGCGTTCTGGAAGAGACACACTGGTTGTTGGGAGCAGACAAAGCCATATCCTGGAACAGACTTAATTGTCGTCAGGCACAAAGCAACCTATAGATTTCAGGGACCCTTCCCACAAAGCGATCTTAGCACTAGGATGTTGTAAGTCTATTTTAAAGTGGAGTTGTGATCATCTTGGTGCTAAGATTGTTTTGTGGAATGGGGCCCCGCAGTTTAAAAAAATTGGTACAAAAATGTTTAAAATATAGACAGACTATTAGGGAACTATTTAACAAAGGCAGGAAGATATACAAATATATGTTATTATTGTTATTGCTGTTTACTGATTTGTGTATGTATAATAAAAAAGTTATTATCCAAAACAATACTCCTTGTTATATCATAACTTAGTCATCCAGCACTGAATACTTGGTCATTAAAGTCTTGGTTCATTGCAGTCTCAGGACCAATTAGTTCGAAAGTATGAGCATGCAATGTTAAGTGTGCCTCACAGTCCCTGAACCATATTGTTTTCCCTGCTGCCCAGCCCCTACGTTAATGCTGTAGGCCTAAATGAAGTCTAGATTTTTCACTGGTTGAATCTCCTTTCTCACTGGGGCTCCATTTCAATTTAAATGGAGGTGTTTGTTTCTATCAAAGATATATTTTACTTATGTTGTATTACAAGTTAACTTCTCATGATTCCATTTTATTCAGACTATCTGAAACATAGTATAAGACGTCCATATTTTTGTTATTTCTCAAACAAACTGTTATTATGTTCCTTTGGTCATGGGAATATTCATACTGGTAAGTGTACCTGGTAGTTGTGAACAAATCAAAACTTTCACTGACTGGGCCTGAGATATTGCGAACAGATTGTTATCCTTCACATACGAACAACTTATTTCTATGTCATCTGTCAAACAATTACACTGTTCACAACAGCTTGATCAACAGCTTGGACAGGCAAGAAAGCCCCTAAATCGCTGCAATTTGAAATTCGCCATGCTTTCTTCCCAGGCATAGTAACGGAAGTCTAATTTAACCCTGTGAAAGCGGATGGCCTAGTCGTGTAAGGTACAACAGTTTGCGGCAGAGTTGAATCCATTGGGCACGCCAGAAACCTGTGATCATGAGTTCGAATACTGGTTCACCTGGATTATTTTTCTAGGTTTGTCAGCACCATACCCGTGTTCATGGGTTTCAATGAAGTTGTAAACATCTAAGACCAGTTTTTAGCAAAGATTTCAATTGTCTTGGGACCGCCTCCGTAGTCTAGTGTCAAGAGCATCTGCCAGGACAACTGAAGGTCGGTGGTTCGCTCCCCCGTGTCGTACTTGTTCTTAAGAGGATAAAACAAGGATTGCTCGGCTCGGAGTCTGTATGCTGTGTTTGAGTGGGGTTTCCACGTTGCTGAGTGGTATCTCAGTGGGCTTGCGCTATAAAACCGACTTTAGCCTGTACAAGTCCAAACACGCACGCACACACGTCGCTATGTAAGTGCAATATTCTCGAACACGTTAAAATCAGTTTCACCTCACCTCACTTGATTAGTGCTAGAACACCAGGTATGACCCATTGAGCTTAATACAGGGGTTTCTTCAATTTTCAATCTTGTTGAAAAAGTCGGACTATGTTTTCCATAAATGTGTTAAATGGTTATGTCCTAACAGTGAAGAACACGAAGAGTGCATAAAACCCCATTTGTCTACATATATGCGTCCTGCGGTGAATCATTATTCCTCCCGCATTAAACTGAGACGCTGTAATATATCTGGAATACTGCCACGGTCTGTTAAAAGCGGCGTTAAACCCAACACACTCACACATTATTTCAGATATCTGTTAATCTGGACAATTTCTACTGTTCTTGATTGACGGGGTTTCATGTTAAATGTGTTTAAGACTGTATGACAAGAGAGATTACTTCAACTTTACAAAAGTCAACTTTCCCTTTACTTTATATCGAGCATCTCCAGCAGGTCCATACTTTGGTGTCTAAATATAACAACTTTTGCGGTACCATCGAGCATACTCTTTCTACGAAGATAATGACTCTTGCTCGAAAGTTGTTTGATATAGGGTTACAGCATTGAAGGCCTCACTAAGGAATTCAAAATATTCTATGGTAGACACGTGGAGGACATTTCCAAACTGACGCATCAGTGACAAAAATGATGTCCGATGCATTATCCCTATTTTGACGTGTACCACATGTTCCCGTGTTATTGTTTGCTTAACAATTGACGTGCCTTTGCGTGTGTCACCTTCGGGACAGGACGTCCTCACCTTTTCACAAACACCTGGCATCATCACTAGTTGATAGTGATTCAAAAACACATGTTCATTATATGGTTGGAATCGTGCAGTAGCTTATGAATATGGAAAGGGGTTTAACTTGTTTGCATGAATCTTAAGGCATTATTCCGATCTCATTTAAATCAGACCTCAGTTCCCGCTACCGCTAAACAAAGATCTGAGGACATCCCATTACGGGTCATGTCAGAACGACCTTTCATCCGACCAATCTGAGCATCGCTTACCAGATTAGGAAAGTGACAGTCGGAATATAATTTCTAATCGTGCAACCTCGAAAACTTTAACTCCGGACGATAGTTACGGGTTTAACGACTGAATCCATACAATGTAGACTATCTATTAGCCATTCCAGAATGTTCTTTTGTAATCGAGAATTTGTCAAAATATGTGGTCGTATATACTAATATATGGTCGTAGAGCTAGGATAACACCATGGATTAGAGCCACGGATGCGTTATACCGTTGCGATGTGAAGAGGTATTTATGAGAGATTTTTATTTCAAATCAATTTCTAATTCAACCTCCGAACATTGAGATAAGCTTCCGACAATGGGTGATTCAGTGATCAGTCATTCAGACCACATTTACCTATTGCAATTCACCAGCAAGCTGCAAGTCTGTGGTCCAACTGCCAACATTTTATTCTGCAATGTATCCCTTTGAGGTCACCCGTTCGGTTGTTCCATTGGGAATGCCACATACCTTACAGGCAACGGATCTTTTATAATATTTGTCAGACAATTCCAGTGTAAGTCGGAATCTGTAAATTGGGCAGGGCAACACTGTCAGGTTTAGGTTCAAGCCACAGGGGCTCAGCGTCATCTTCAGGACGAGTTCTTTCAATGAGGCTGATCAGAGCCTTCTCGTTCGTGGTCAGTCTCTCCAAGGCGCTCTTGTACAGGATGACTGTCTTGGGGTCCAGCAGACCGAACAGGTCTAGTCCCTCAATGATAAAGTGAGGCAGGTATCCCGCCTTGGCATAGTGTAAGAGTCTGTTGAGGAGAGAGAGGACACATTCCTCCAGACTGCTTCTTTGCCACCGTGGTGAGTGATCCACATGATAATCCATGTCGAACAATAGCGTTGTCTGGATCTGGTATGGTGTCAGCATCTTCAGACGCCAGTCCTTCTGGCACAGTTTGCAGACAATCTGCAGTGCTTTGGTCCTGATACCTTTGTCTGTACAGGAGATTGATCGGATGATTTCAGCCTCTTTCTGGGCCCAGCATATTCTCCATCGCATTTCTGAAGAAGCGTTTTCATCAATGTCAAACGGTTTGGACACAAGAACGGCGTTGGATTTGTATATGTGTATTGCAGGAATGATTTCTATTCTCCAACCATAGTTCTTCAGATCGTAGTATATACAGTAACGGCTATCCTTCAGAACCATCCGCAGACGCTCAAACGGTATAGACTCCTTCTGGAAAGCCTTTTTCAATATTTTGTGAAACAGGTGATACGTTTTCTTTGGTGACAGGTGGAGCCTGTCTTCTGAACGGAGATTCGAAAATTCGTCAGAATCAGTGGAGTCCCGTCTGGGTAACTGCATGACGACGTAGCCTGGATCCAGAGGCTTCAGCCTCACCTTCTTCAAAGAAAATGGCAAAAGACATGGAATTTCTTTCTCGGCTGTCGTCCATGGTGGAATGCTTTCAATGACAATTGGACGTTTAAAATCTAATTCGAATCCGCTTTTCCTGAGATGTGGAACGATCCAGTCAGTGAATTCTCGAATTTCTCGTTGAACTGTGGACATCTGGTCCTGATGAGATGTCACGTGATCATTGGTGCTGCTATCCTGAGCTAGCTTCAAAAGTGCGTCCCCTAGTTTCGTATTCTGATCTTTCTCTGTCTTCTGTCTGTGGAGCCGGGGGAGATAGATGTGGGGGAGGTCATTTGACTCAGGGTCCCCCTCAAACCTAACCCCAATGCTCTCGAGGAACTCGGCTCTTTTTCGTTGTCTCTTCGTCTCCAGGCGACGGCTGAAGGGGTAAATACTGGTTTCATACGATCGTCTCGGCATGGCTGGGATTAGTAACTGTTTGGCCCTGCAGACATATGGACATGAGATAAATCATTAACATGATGAAGGAAATAATACTTCAACTTAGAATTAATTGTCATGTCAAAACGTTTATTTTGCAAACGATTGTATATCGTAACTGCAATATCGTAACTGTAGAGATTTGCAGTATTGCGGTTAGTCTGTGTCAAATCGTAACACATGGGAAGGTGAAAAGAGATGGGGTGCGTTATTTCCACATTTGACGCTTCGTGACACAAAATAATGTCCGATGCAGTTCCCTATTTTTTACTTGAACCATATGTTACCGTTTTTTTGCTGAAGTTTTGACTTGCCTTTACAGGTGTTAGAGAACGGTAGCCGCCGGTGGGGCAGGATACACTCACCTTTACGCGAACACCTTGTATGATAACAAATTAATAGTAATTCATAAACACATGCTCATGATATAGTCGGAATCGTACAACGGGATTTCTTAAGATTATTGAAATGTTTTTGTTGCTTTTACATTTAAAGATAGCTTACTGTGTGTTCAGAAAACATACACAGATAACAGCCTCGTCATGAACTATGAGACAAGCTGTAGCCAGTGCATCAACGAGTACAGACCTCAAAACTCCGGAATAACATAAATTTACGATATTCAGAAATGTTCAGTTTCTCATTGCGTCTCATTTTTCGCAATAACAAATTGGTATGTACACGGTTTGTTCATGAAGGCGAATCTCTCTTTAAAAAAATAATATAAGCTTTCATATGAAATGATAAATCATAAAATATCAACATACAAAATTAAAAGCTAGAAAATTCGTGTACATACTTTTCGAATAGAAGAACTGAACAGTGGACAGGTGCATGACGAGGGCTGGACGGGCAGCGGTATTGATTAAGAGTCTCAGGATTTTCCGGGAGTGAAACCCGGACATATATTTGCTTGAGGCAGTGATTTTGTTGTTTTAAGAGACAGAATCATAACATTTCAGGCCATTCTTTTATCAGTTTCCCTTTCCTTGAAACCAACAATGAGATCCAAGACCAAATCAATGAGTCGAATGACACATCGCAAAAAAACTGTAACGCACTTTTCAGAAGTTGACGCTTGTTTTTATCATGTCTCGAAACAGTACACGTTATCCCAGCCCAGATACTCCCAGGGTGGAGAGACCCATTATGTTCCCGTTATTCAGTGGTTGCCAGGCAGACACAAACAGCCATGTCTATGTCACAGGACATCATGCGCATAGCGACACTTTAAGTAGGGATAATTAGGTAAAAGGTAACACGTCACTCCCCGTTGTCCCGTCGATTTCAGTCAATACCACCCTCAATATCACCCTCTCGTGTAGCTATCGGTTGTCACAAGTGTTGTTGACGCTAACATGGGATCAAATCGAACGGAAACAAAAACTCTGTCCATTGTCACGATCGCCTGTAAAGAAACTCCGAGGGAGGAATGATAATAAAAATCGGTTATAAAATCTCAAGTTCTACTTCGGTGTCTTTCTCCCATTCGGTGTTAAACCGCTCAGTAGGTCTACACCCCAGTACTGCTGTGTGTTTGGATAGCATTGAGTTTGTCAGCAGTGATTCATCTCAACTGCCGGAGAGAAAGTATACACTTGGAAATTGAATTTGACCAACAAATTACAGACAATCAAAACGTTACCAGGCTGATTTGTTTGTTTGTTTGTTGTTTAACGCCGCACTCAGCAATATTCCAGCTATGTGACGGCGGTCTGTAAATAACCGAGTCTGGATCAGACAATCCAGTGATTGACATCATGAGCATCGATCTACGTCATTGGGATACGATGACATGCATCAATCAAGTTAGCGATCCCGTTTGTCGCCTCTTACAAGCATAGTCACCTGGGTTGCTGAAGACCTATTCTAACCCTGATCTTCACGGATGAAGTCAGGCCTTATCTAGAAACTTCTGACTGACAACAACTACTACATGAGCAACAAACAACGAGCAACGCCACCCGGCTAGGACAACCCGAATGCAACTTTCTGGTTCATGAGTGAGTGAGTGAGTGAGTGAGTGAGTGAGGGAGGTAGTTTGGTTTTACGCCGCTTAGAACAGTATTCCATTTATATCACGGCGTGTAGCTCAATGTGGGAGGAAAGTCAGAAGTGATGCAGGCGTTTACCACTTTGATGAAATCCACGAGCATGGGTATGGTGCTGACAAACCTAGAAACACAATCGGGGAGATCTAGGATCATGGATATCTGACGTGACTCACCTCTGCACAGCGAACTGCTGCGAATGTTTGGTACATGAGGGGTTTGTTCTAGTCACCACAAGTGCCAGAAGAATGGAAATGATCCATAAACAATCTCCGTGTGACGGCTGTGATACATTTTGAAAACACATCGTCAGAAGAGTTACTCATTATGTTGTAATACGTCAGCACTTAGTGTACACCTTTCAAACTTCCAAGTGACGGTCGGGTAGCCTAGTGGTTAAAGCGTTCGTTCGTCACGCCGAAGACCCGGGTTCGATTCCCAACATGGGTACAATGTGTGAAGCCCATTTCTGGTGGCCACCAACGTGATATTGCTGGAATAGTGCAAACAAAACCGGCGTAAAACCATACTCATTCACTCACTCAAACTTCCAAACGTTCAAATGTGTAGTATGCTTAATAACTGTACCTTCGCTCCTCTTTCAATAAAAAAGACTGTCCGAGGGAAAAAAAAACTTTTTCAAAAGGCACGGATGCTAACAGAGCATTTATTTCACACTTATTGCACAATGACTTTCTTGAACACAATTCCCAGGCCAAACAACCATATGATTCGATAACTAATAATATGTGACTGAAACATTGCAAACGCAACCTTATATTATAACTCCCAGAAGTATTTATTGTTCCCCTATTGATGACAACCAACAGTCCAACCCTACCCTACTTCGGGATATTGTCCCCATAAAACAGCCCTCTGGAAGTTTCTGTAATGAAAATGGTAATACAACCATGTAATACTTGAACCCCCAATCTGTGAGTCTTTAGTAAGCACGTGTATACTCTTAAGCTCTTCTCACGGCAACAGGGGGCACGGGTGGCCCAGTCGTCTAAGGCGCCGCGATTCGCTGTGCAGAGTTGCGTCCCTTGGGCTCGCCAGAAACTTATGATTGTGGGTTCGAATCCCGGCTCGCCCCGATTATGTTTCTAGGTTTGTCAGCACCATACCCGTGCTCGTGGGTTTCACCGAAGTGGTAAACGTCTGAGACCTGCATCACTTCGGGCTTTCCTCCAACCTTAAGCTGACACGCCAATACTGGAATTCCAATGACTGGAATACTGTCAAAAGCGGCGTTAAACCCAACACACTCACTCACTCACTCACTCACGGCAACAAGTAGCCTGCTGCATGCAATGCTTCAATTGTCACGGGCTCCTCAAACAAACATAAATACACGTGTCCTATTCGCAGGAACCAATAAGTGGATGAGGGACGGGCAGTATTCCGGGGGGTCAGTTGCCCTGGGATCATTAACAACCATAAGTATACAGACGGTGAGCCATCAAGTAAACACGGTTGTGTAAGGGGTGGGAATATGGCGACCCTCAGACCTTATTGATTTCAAGATAACACCATGCTTGCTTGAGTGACGGATGAGGGTTCCGCGCAGGTTTAGTATTTTAGTCAATCCAGGGTGGATCTGAGGATTTAGCCCGGGAGTCCCAAAGGTAACACAGCCTGATTCACCGTGGAGGTATGTGAGTGTATTCTCTTTAGTTGGAATGAATGAGTGAGTAAGTTGAGTTTAACGCCGCTTTTAACAGTATTCCAGTTATATCATGGCGTGTCAGCTTAAAGTGGGAGGAAAGCCCGAAGTGATGCAGGTCTCGTGAAACCCACGAGCACGGGTATGGTGCTGACAAACCTAGAAACATAATCGGGGCGAACCGGGATTCGAACCTTCAATCATAGGTTTCTGGCGTGCCCAAGGGACGCAACTCTGCACAGCGAATCGCGGCGCCTTAGACGACTGGGCCCCCTGTGCCCCCCGTTGGAATGAATGAAGGAGTGACCCGACAGGAACATGCAGCTCACTTCATGATACCAGAGTGAGTGAGTGAGTGAGTGTCACGGCGGATGACACACACATTACCAAATTGTACCCATATGGGGAATCGAACCCGAGCATTCGGCGTGACGAGGGAACGCTTTAACCACTAGGCTACACCACCGCATCTCTTAAGCTGTGACAAGACGCTGGTTCTTTAAAAAGGCTAAAATATGTGGCCATTTACGGATCATTGTGTGAGACCGAGTGAGTGAGTGAGTGAGCATGGTTGAGTACGTATAGTCCAGCAATGTCATCGCTAAGGAGACCAGACACGAGCGTCATTGCATCCATGAGGGGATTCGAACCCGGGCCTTTAGCTGACGAGCGACGTTTTTACCACTAGCCTACCCCCACCGAGGGCCCAGTTGGACAAAGACACCTGGTATCATCACTATGTAATACTTGCTTGTGATATAGTCGGAATTGTACGATGGACCGCTTTCGGCAGAGAATTAAGAATTTCGAAAAGGTTTTGTACAATTTATCGCATCGCGTAAGTTACTGAGTGAGTTGGTCAGTATAGTTATACGCCCGTGTTAGCAATATGTCAACGTGGGAGAAAGGGAATGGAATGTACCCATGGAGAGAATCGAAGCATGGTCATTTGGCGTGACGAGCACACGATGCACGAGGATCCACGTCATCGCAGCGACGTTAATCGTCAGTCATGGTCATGCATACGTTTAAAGGAAAAGGGATAAATCAACTATTATATTCAAATTTACGAAGACCAGTCGTTTAAGGCGCCGCGATTCGCTGTACAGAGTTGCGTCCCTTGGGCACGCCAGAAACCTATTATTGTGGGTTCGAATCCTGGTTCGCCCCGATTATGTTTCTAGGTTTGTCAGCACCATACCCGTGCTCGTGGGTTTCATCGAAGTGGTAAACGTTTGAGACCTGCATCGCTATGGGGTTTCCTCCCACATTAAGCTGACACGCCGTGATATAACTGTGCCGTCAAAAGCGGCGTTAAACCCAACTCACTCACTCGCACTCATCCCGTACTGATTTTTGAGAGTTCTCACTTGAGACAGGCAAACTGATGCTCAACCGCCAATGCTCGAACACCGATATGTTCTCGTAATGGATACGAGATACCGGGACAGACGAGGATACTAAAATGGGCCCTACAAATGAAATTGATCAAGTGTAGCACACGCAAATCGTTTAATGACCAGGCGTTTCTATCGACAAGAATCTATAAACGTCTTAATTCTGTAACCGGAGATTAATGCTATTTAACATTCAACTTCTCGTCATCGTTCAGCGGAGATAAGTAGTGTGATATGGATTTTCCATAATTATTCCTCCATGGACAGTGAGTAATTGCAGCGTCTATCACCCACAGGCAACCCATGTCATGGACGATGCGAGGCGTGGCGAAACTTTTTGTAATCGTTAGGCCAATTCCCAAAGGTTTCGCCTGACACCAAACATCGTTGTCACTGCACGGTCACGAATAGTGTGAATAGTGTGAAACGACTCAACAATATGGCGTTCTCTGTTTGAATCGCTGGCTTAGTAAGTCATTGCCTGGTTATTGTGGAAGGAAGGAAGCGTGTCGAACTGTACACGACAATAGAGCTATTTGGGGTACAACATATCTTATCGGGTTGAAATTCGATCGAAAAAAAAATGCAGAATATTTTGCCAGGGCATAGTGTAAGAATTCGGTTAATGTCGTGCAAATACGACTGTTTAATAAATCAGGTCGCAATACAATGTGGTATGAAAAATTCGGTTGCTTGTATAAACTTGATAAACTGCATTCTGACAGGTAGTATAATAGCTGAATAGTGTCTTTAGACAATGTCGCACCATTTTCGTAGTTTAACAAACATAAGACGTGGGCGTTGATATTGTGACACTTGAAATCAAGGTAGAATGTTATTGTGACAAGAAGTCATTTCGGGAATATGCGTGAAACGTTTAATTTCCGATAGACACCTAGTTCCGCCCATGACACAACTGACCTGGTGAGACTTAGACAACTGGAAACTTGGCAGCTGTGTCACAGGCGTGACATCTGGTTATATTGTGTGACAGATGAGACATCAGGTTACATTGTGTGACAGACAAGACATCAGGTTACATTGTGTCACAGATGAGACATCAGGTTATATTGTGTGACAGATGAGACATCAGGTTATATTGTGTGACAGATGAGACATCAGGTTATATTGTGTCACAGACAAGACATCAGGTTATATTGTGTGACAGATGAGACATCTGGTTACATTGTGTCACAGACAAGACATCAGGTTACATTGTGTCACAGACAAGACATCAGGTTATATTGTGTCACAGACAAGACATCAGGTTATATTGTGTCACAGACAAGACATTAGGTTACATTGGGTCACAGATGAGACATCTGGTTACA